GAAATCTTTTAAATAAAAATGCAGTAGTTAACAAGCCTGGGGGAACATGGATATGACACTTGCTGGATATTATGCACTCAGTGATTATCACTTGATCCAAAATTTACATTAGATGAAAATGTGTTACATGTTAAAAAAAGTATTTCCATAGGAAAATGTTAATTGGCAAAGAAATCTTGTAATACAAGAAATCATGTGGTTCTTAGGCAAAAAATTATATAAAGGAGAATAGTTCACTCTTAAATACATTCATTCAATTATATCCTTTAAGTTTTCTTGCCTCCCTATAATAATGTCAGCCAACAGTCAGTGTTTTCTTTTAGGGAAATTATTTTTCCAGTTTGCTTTCCAAGATAGACCAAATTGAAAAATCTCAGGGGTTGACATCAGGGGAGTAAGGGGGCCATTGTGAAGTTGAAATGAAGTCTGGGACATTTGTCCACAACCACTCCTGGGTCATCCGCACCTTGATAGCCGAGTGCTGAGTCCTGCTGGAAGACCCAGCTGCCTCCATTGAAATGATTTGTGGCCCATGAAACCAGGCAGTCTTCCAGGATGCTTTTCTGGTATACTTCAGCATTGACCTTCATCTTTTCAGGCACAAAAACGAGCAGAGTGTGTCCAGAAGTGGTAATCCCTGTCCAAGCCAATGCAGAAGCCACCCCTTGACACTGAGTGGCTTGAAAAACATAAATTAAGATTTTTCAATTTGGTCCATCTTGCAGAGCAAAGTGTGCTACAAAACACCATTCTTTGGATTCTCTCAAGCTATCCCTGAACCAAGAATGGGAGTGAATTCCACAGGAAGTATTGTGAAAACCAGTCAATGTTTTCATGGGTCATCTGAACCTTGTCATCCATGGCAAGGGCAGCTACATTGAAAACTATTAAGTGATTCTAAATCAGTTAACTGTCCTTATTATTGTACATAAAAAGTGTTTCCCAATTTTTGTTTTTTTTTTTTGCTGAAGTTATAGGCATATTGTGATGGGACACAACATTCTCAACACCCTGTAATATTTGGCCACAGACTATCAGTCCCAGCATTTTAGCAGTCTCCCATGACAGTATGACTTTCATATAATTCCTACATGTGTCATATCCATAGTCCAGAGAAACTTCTATGGTCCTACTTTCCAGCTGCACTAGACTGTCAGGTACCACAACTATATCACTTCTGCTTGGAAGTAGCAAACACTTCAGAAACTGTGTAGATTTTTGTCTTTTTTAAGTAGCTAGTGATTTCAAGAGCAATTTTTGGTGAAGAGGGAGCATCTCACTGCTTAGGTGAGAGTCCACATGAGCAGACATCCCTCATGCCAATAAAGGGTTTGGGTAAAAATGGTGGGACTTTTGACATCTGTATACAAGGGGTGCTCAATAAGTCCTGTCATTTGGCAATTTCCCTTGGTTCTAAAATATAGTCGATTCTATTTCAAGTAATACTATTTCTCAATTAACTCGGATGACAGTTTCATAGAGTTGGCAAGATTGGAGTGGCTAGGAGAATTTTTAGAATTGTCACAATACTTACTGAAAAATCTTAATAATTTTGCAACACTTGCACCTTTAGGAGTCTCCAACTTGAACAATGTGACAGATAAGGAACATTCTGGGTGAGAACATACAATGTTTAATGCATTTTTCTCAAAAATTCAAAAATGATGATGGAATATACTAATGTAAGAAACAAAATTACTAATTACACCTTATTGCTCTACTCATTGCCAACCTATTGGCAACCTCCTACCTTATTGTCAACCAACATGGTCAGTGGATTGGATACTTTTGAGGAATGTGGTTCCATGAAATTCACTTTGAGGCAGATGAGAATTACAGGGGCTTGCAAAATATATGGGAGCCAAAAATACTTAATGATTCTCTTTATGGTAAATCAAGTGCATGAGAAATGATAGAATCAGCAATGTGAGAGACAAAGAATCACATTTATTCAAAGTAATAGGTGCTAAAAATTCCCCAGGAGATTACCATATTCAGTACTATATTGGGAAAAGTTGGACAATTTTCCCCTCCATCAATATGGTTTAAAGAGGGCAATGAAACTGCACAGTCTTTACCAGCATCCTCTTTCCAATTGTATGTTAAATATTTATTTCAGTCTGGCATTTATACCTATGTGAGGGTAGAAGAGTCAAAACATTATATTTCAGCCATGACACATTTGGCAATATGGCTATTTTCAGCAGAAGACCAATCAGGCATTTTCAATACGCCAATTTTTATATTCAGATTTAACCACAGCATAAACAGTGATAGGGGAAAAATAATCCATAATAATAACCCATCAATATAGGATTTTCTTATGAAATGACATATGGCACCAGTCATTAGGACACAGAGCAGCATGAGATCAGATGCAGCAGGAAAAAGCCACACACACAAACAAGTGCACTATCTCTCATGAGGGAGGATGACCTAGTTTGAGTCTTGTGATTTTCCTCTTACTGAAATAAAAAAAAATATTAACTTTGAGACTAGAGAGATGATCAAATATGAGAATGTGGCTTTTGGGAGAAATTTTGGCCATGTCATAGGTGGGAATTGCCACTTGCAGCTAAGGTTTAAAGGGAATCGCCATGATCACACCAATGAGAATACCAACATCTAGAAAAGATGGGGAAACCTAATCCACATAATGTGTTCAGGGTCCACACAGATATAAAGTTCCTTATGTATTCTAATTTAAAACACAGCATAGGGAAATTCTCAGACAAAAGCAGACCCATGTGCGTGTAACAGCCTCTCCTCTGACTCTTCCAGAGGAGATGAAATGTCTCCAGGACAATATGCTCAAAGACAAAATATTTAGTTACAACTCAGAGTTCCTCCAGGTCAGAAATTGCACTGTGCATACAGAAGTCTGTAACAACTTCAAGGTTAATAACTATAAGGTATCAAGAAAAGTGGTTGAAATGCCCATGAGAATATAAAAAGTACAACATGAAGGCATTTACTTATTGAAGTTCAGATTAGATATAAAGCACACCTCTTCAAGGAGGCTTGAAGAAGAAAAGAACTTCACAAACTTTTTCCTTAAAATATCCTCAAACCCATTTTGAGTCCTTCCTATGAATCAAAGAGATTAAATGAGTCAATTTACAAAGCTGAATGCATACATTGGCAACAGCATTCCATCCAAACTCCCATTTAAGATTCACAGTGCATTGCAGTGCATGGCTGATACATGGGAACACTACTGGTTGTATGCTTAAGAGGGAGACACAATCTCAGGGTAAAGTTAAAGAATTCTGTCAACATCAACAGAACATAATCAAAAACCAGCAATGCCTTGAACTGAAGCTGAATTGGAGTATTTCTTAATTTTGCACAATGAGGGGCAATTACTTCATTTCATCATTTAGAAATTTTAGTAGAAAGGTCTTTAATAGAAATGGAGAGTACATCTTATACCCCTTATTTTGACTTTTTCATGTCTGAGTTACTTTTCAGTTACTCTTACCTTCCTTTTCTAACCCCTAGGAGTATAGTAACAACTTGTAAATCTGGGTTTTAATCATAGCATAAGAAGTTTGATCATATATTGACCTTAGAAAGAAAATAACTGCAACTCAAAAAAGGGCCAAGCACAACACTTGAACAGTGATATTGTTTCATTTGTCTTTTTTGGTCTGGTTTTAAGAAATTAAGTCAAGACTGACTGCTAGGGATAATATTATTTGTCCCAAAAAACCAAAAGCTTACTTAATAACTTGTTATATTCTGTATTAATGCGCTCTAGTGTTTTCCACTCATGTCTAACATTATTTTTACATGTCTTTGGAATGGGAGGTGCCTCATTGCATAGGTGTCGTATTCAAGTGAAAAAACTGTATTAAACAGCCAAAGGTTCTGCTAATAGGTGCATCTCCAACCCTGATTTGTAGGGTCTTCTTGTCCTCACCAAACACCAAGTGTGTTCACAATCAACTTAGCCGGCTTCATTTTATTTTCACCTCAAGCCATTCCTATACTTGCTTGTGGTGGATGGCTAGAATCTTGAATGAACTTGGTGCCCCATGGTCCAGTTGACTCTTATTCCAAGCCTGGTAGACTGGCATGCAAGTTCTAATCAAGCTCAAATCCAGAAGGAATGCTGGCAAATATGTTTTTTCAATTACAAATATGTGATAATATGCAGATATGCTAGTCTTCCTGTGAAATGGGCAGGGTATATTCCAAAATGCTCAAATACATTGCAATATTCTCTATAGGAATTTGCAGTGACTCCTGTTGTTACCTTATCAATTTTTGAGACAAGGGAAGGAAGCAGTAAAAACATGCTAAAACATGCTTAAGAGTTAAATCTCAACCAATCCCTTTTTGGAGACAGTTCATGTAATTCCCATCAAATGCTCATGTATAAGATGGTTACTTCAGAGAGGGGAGCGTTTTGGAACTCCTTCATTGATCATTAATACCAAAACAATAATACAACAACCCAAGTGCTCAATATGCAATGGTGACACCAACCCATCCATCTTTCATCCAACAGTCTGTAGAGACCCAACAAGAGTTGTTGAAGATAGAGAGCTCTCCAACTACATGGGATTTTCCATGATCACAGAGCAGAATTCTATGCCATGATAAGGAAAGGAAATGACAAAATCCACTCAAGAAGGATAATAGTGAGCTCAGCTTTTTATTATTGAAAAGGTATAGTTGATTGTCCTAAATCAGGGGTGTCAAACATAAAACCCATGGAGGTATCTGCAGGGTGAGGAATGCAGTCTGCTGACCGATTTGAGTTTGACACCCCTGTCCTAAAGGAATAGCCAGTCTCCATCAGTGTTTTTATAAATTAGCCACAAATGGAAAATGAACTTTAATAATGCTCAAGTTTTGTGCTTTAGCTTGTAATCAACTAAATCCTTGCATTTTTTCTGGCATTCATAAAAAGAACAAGAAGAACCAGCTACTGGCATTTGATCTAAACTCAATATTTAAATTACTGTTGAGCAGAGACATCCTCCACCAAACCACCTGCATGCATTTCCCTTATGTAAAATCCCCTGGAATTAGGCACATCATCAAGAAAATGGATTTTCAGTTGTTGTATGCAATAGTAAATACTCCAACATCATCTTTTCACCCATCTGCAAAATGCTTACTATAAACTAATACCCATCCACACATTATATGCAATATTTTCAAATGCAGGTATCATCTTATATACTCAATCATGGAAGTGTTGACTTCCCAAGCAGTACCACATCAAGCTTTCAGGTGATAGACATGACACTGAATGGGAGAGGAATACTAATTTCCTTGATGGGATGGGAGAGAGGCATAATGGGAGGGAGAAACAATTCAAGTACATGTGAAGTAGCCCAGTGTAACTCAGGATTTCTGGAAAAAGTACCATCCAACTAGCACTGTCTTCCTGTTGAGTCACACAGTGGTTTCCCTTAATATGACATGTCCAACATCGGGGTGTGTCATGTCATAATAGGTCACAGAGATGGGGCATTCAGGTGCTGTATCTTCTGCACCAGTATCACTGATCACAGAGTCCTGAGGTATATACTGAGGGCGCTCCCAAACATCTGAAAGGAAAGATGTACAAGTATAGGTCCATTTGGTCAGGAAAAGTCCAATCAGATGTTTCCTAATTTTCCACAGATACATAGGAAAATGCTTATCTGAGTTTATAGGCTAATGGCAAGTGACCATTCATGCATTCCTTGTGCATCTCCACTTGAAATGTGATACTGGAATGACACTCACCATCTTGAAAAGTCATCATGCAAGAGTGGCTCTATAAAGCATGGAACACAACATGAATACTAACTGCCGAAAACATGCAATAACATAACAGGAAAGGGTCTCAAAAATGCCTGACATTCAGACTTAATACCTCACTGGATAGTGGAGATGCAAAATTGCAGCTTTGGGTAAACCTAAGCATGCAATTTGATGCCCTTCTGGTAAAGAAGGTATATAGGATGATCACAATAGCTCTGATCAAGTTTTTCTTTAAATTTATTTCTTGGTGGTTGAAGATGCCAAAGGGGCATGTAGCAGACATGCCCACATCACTGGACTCAAGATCTCTACTTCCTTGCATTGAGAGATCTCAGGGCCAATGACTTGGTAGGTTGAACTTGTCTACTGCATGTCCCCTGAGAGACTCCTAAAAAAGTTTGTCCAAAATGACTATCAGACCAGTTGCTAGATCTTGTACAAGGTTGAATGACTATATAGCAGAGCTTTGTCATGAGGTATTCCACCAGCTGAGCACAAGTATTGCCTGGATCAGAAGCATTGGAGGATGATCCCACACCTGCTTGAGCAGTGACACCCCATCAACATGATCCAATCCCAATCAATGGCAATGAAAATGAATTAACGGTTGCAGAAAATGGAATGCTTATAACAGGAAAATGCAAAATATTCCATGGGATTTTCACTTGAATGTTGCTGCTGCTATTATAATTTTATTCACACAATGCTTGCTTTACAAGGTGTTTGAGCATGCTGCAACCTTAAAATTGCCAGCACTTTAAACACCTGCATGGAATGCCCCTGAAGAACCTCACTTCCTTGTATACCAGAGGGAAAGGAGGAATATATTGTTTATAGTAATAAAACAAATGAAGAGTTCTGAAAGTGCCCATCAAATCACTTCAGATATCCCAAAGGATTTTCTCTACATTGTTGGCAAAAGTATTCTCATATCTACATTCAGCAAGGAACTAATGGATGAAGACATTCTACTGAAACTTATCGACCTGCACATTCAGAAAAAGTTCCAAAGAATGAAGCACCTGCAGGAAGCTACAATAGTGGCATTCACTTTCTTCACACTATTACAGAAAACAAAAGACAGAAATTAAATTAGAATCAATTGACTCCTAATTGATAATAAAACAAACCAAAATAAATATTCAAAAGTAATAATTTATTCATAAGTTTCAATGAGAAAGTGAAATATCAATACCCCATCCAAGATCTGATCTAAATGTGGTAACTGCTGGCTAGTGAGTCAAGTAAATAAAAATTGAGCATTCTCATACAATTCATGAGCAAAGCATACACTGGGTATCTCCACATATCACTGATACAGAGTTAACATCCATGAAACACAGTACATACAATAAATAAAAACTCAATCTCAAAATATTATATAGATGCAACAGTAAAGCATGCAATTTTGGCCCAGGCACCGGATGAATAGGAAGATGAGAAATCACTGGGAATTTCAGAAATTCAATGGTATTTACAAACAAAGGCATAATCAAGTAAAGTTCAGAGATAAAATGTGACATGTCAGATGTTGCACTATCCTACAGCCATAACTATGAATAAATGCATGACAGCAGCTTTCCATTTTGATGCTCAAGATAGAAAAGCTGCAGAAAAGGCTTTTTGACAATATAATTTTGAATGACAAACTTTATCAAGAATTGTCAAGCCATCATGCCTGACTATCTGCCAAATTGATTAGAATTGCTGGACAAACAAATGTCCATGGAATAACTTTCTAAATAAAAATGTCCTCAGGGAAGGTAGTCAGCCAACAGAAGTTTACTCATAACTTTTGTACTCTTCAAGAGGAAAAATCTATCAGGAAAAGGGAATCAGTCACAGCCAACTTATAAACTTAAGCAATAAAAGAGATGAATGTTACAAGCTATTGTCTCCTATGATTTACTGGATCCATGACAACTACATTTTGAATCAAATTTGAATTTACAACATTGCAGCCTTGGAGCTGTTATGCATGAAATTTATTTATATTATATGGAAGAATAGAAGCTGGCCAAGGCTTGCCAGGGAAACATGGGTCAGCAGATGGAACATGTTTCAAATGCATGCCTTGCCAAATCCATTGGAACAACACTTGCAAAAGAATGACCCATTAAATAATTTATATGGTGTTTCAAACAGGCTTCTTTAAATAAAAAAAAGTTTCAGCTCATGACTTAATCTTTGTAAACCAAATTGTAAGCAGGATCAAAATGAAGATATAAAAACAGTTGAATGCAGGCATTCAATAGCATCACAGCATTAGAAGAACTGTTCAGAGGTATAAAGTATCAGAAAAACAAAACAGCATGCATAATACTGTGGGTCACTGGCAGCTCCTCTGTGATAAAATCCAAATGAATTGTGCGCAAGTAGACAGAGAATTTTCATTGATGATGGAGAAGATTAAGAGAAAGAAGGGTGCAAGAAGCACAGGCACAAGCAGCCTTGAGCCCAAGTCCAAGGCAGGTGCCTTATGTCAATCATATTCAGGCCTTAATGTGTCTTCCATCTGTTTGTGATATGAACAATTTAAAGCAATTAGCACTCTTACTGTTTCCACATCCTTTTCATGACCAGGGAAAAACGTTTCACCATGAGAACAGTTCACATGCTTGATCAGTGGTTCCAGCTAGAGTAGTACTGCCTATAAACTTTTACGAAATGCCTAATATGTATAATTTTGATCATGGAAGAGGTGGATTTTTGTCTGATTGAAAATTTGGAATTGAAATGGATGAGTTAAAAGGGTGAACAATTTCTTTTCCATCCCCAGTCACACATATATTAACAGGAAATGGGCATGTTTGCTCAGCTCTAAATCCAATGATCATGTTATAGTTGATGCCATGGAAGTGTGTATGTCAGGAGTTTTGTCTGAAGTAAGAATTGAAAAGCTGATTCCATCTGAATCAAGATGGTCCCCACAGTAACTTCAAATGGATAATTAATCTCTCCCTATAATTCCCCATAATCAGATGAATATCATTGATGACATAGAGGTTAACCCATAGCTCCTCAAAGCTGATACATGACATAGGTCTTAGGATTACCAAAAATTAAGTTTTCACAGACTGAAGTCTATTTAATACCACTCTGTTTCTACCATTGTCATTCCTCCTCTCAATTTGATTGCATCTGTGTGAAAAGGGGTAAGGGGTAAAATTGAATGCCTTAGAAAGCTTCATGTCTTATTTTTGTAGGGCTCCTAAAAAAATTAAGGGAGCTACAATTGATTCATAATTGCAGAGGACAGTATGAGTCAAAAGCTCAGTTGGAAATGAGCTTGGCTCCTTTGATGAGAAAACTGAGTTAAAAAAAAAAAAAGGCCAAGTGCAGACTCAGGCACATTTGGGAAGGGATATGCTCAAGTGCTTGGCACTCCTGTCAATAAGCATGAGGTGCTAAAAAAAGACCTAGTGGTGAAGAATGAACCTCCCAAAGCTTTAATTTATTTGGGTTTTACATGAGATTACAGGGAGTGGGGCACATGCATGGACTTTTTGCCTCTTGCACCAGGTAGCTTAGTCTAGCCTATTGTATTGTATCAAATGCAAACATGCAGTAGTGCAGGTGTACATGGGCATGAATAGAGATAGTTTAGATCATGAGTCTGTTTGCTTTCTTGCTTTAAAAATAAACTACTGATTTACTTTTTTCTGATCAAGGACCAGTTGTAGCTAGGATAGGAGCAAAGGTGAAAGTAACGGTAACCAATGAGAACAGTGTTACCACAAGCTTTCCAGGAGAAAGTGGGAACACTGCTCCCAAGCTACTTGAAAATAACTTTTATAGAACAAAAACCTGATAAGTATCAAGCAACTCAACTGGAGGAAGGGGAAGAGGGAGGTAGTGGTTCACATATCCACCCTTCATTTTTATTCCTATTCCCATACTACAATAGATTGACTTTTTACCACTAGATAGGACTAGAAAAAAAGTAAGCCCAAGAGAATGAGATAGTAAAGGACTGATCAATTAGGTTATAGGGTCAAGGAATTGCATGTCCGGTTGGTTGACTGGGCAACAGCTAGTTTATATGTTCTATAATTTCAGTGATCGACTACTCCATCTTTGAAACCATAATAGTACAAGTTCCCTGAAGGTGTGGCTACATAGTGCACCTGTGAACCACATCTTTAGGCATGCTTACTAGTACAATAATCTAGCTCCTTAGTGCTACTGATATGACATTTACTATCTCCTATGTCACCTGAATTGCTTTGCCAATTTAAAAACCTTGTATATGTATGATCATGTGTCAGCTAGATTTTATCAGCTTGCTGGCATCAGCCACTATCTCCATGACTAGCATCAGTATCATTCTAATCCACACAGATGCAGTATTTAAACACTGCCTGTGATATTTGAGCTAGCATTTCCTGTTTCAGAAAACCTAGCCTAATGATGGTGACCACAATACATAATTAATCTCATTAATAGACACAAGGTGTCAATGAAATCACTACATATGCAACTTTTTTAATACTGCAACTCATAACTTCAAGTGGAATTTTATACTTTGGAATTTGCTTTGCAGTTGAAGTGATACTAATTTAATTTCAGGCCCAGCCTCTCATGAATAAAGTAGCACCTATACCTCAAATACTCTGAGGTACAGATGTAAAAGGATAATCTATGTGGGCTACTGCCAATCAATGCGAGGGGACCAAGATTCAACGGCATTAAACTTGTGAGAAAAACTGTTAAAAACAGCTAGAATCTTGTCACATGCACTACAACAAACATTCCTCTATCAATCCAATTTTTGCAACCCAGCATGACCCAAAGGTCCACTTCTCTCCTACCTTAATTCTACAAACTAGAAATTCAAAAAGATTGACACTAACAATAACATGAGCTTAAAGATTTGGCATTCCTTCAGCACAGACATGCAATGACAAAAAATGGAAGAACAATATGCAGTCATCCTACAAAGTCAGAGACTATGGATAGATGCACCACTGTTATAAAGAGATTCATCTGAATTAGGAAAGACACACCCACACAAGTACACACTTTTTGTACATTTTTGAATGAGAGGAAAATACAGATATGCTAAGGGAAGGTCATTAGTATATTGAGATCTCACTTCGTATCTATAATGACTACAGCGTGACTTGAATGCTACCAATAAGAGGAATGATTTGAATATGTTTTTCTAGAGTGCTGAAGCATAAGCATTCATATCAAGTAAAGAAGAGAAAATCCCTGATGAAACAGGAGGTACTAAGTTGACCCAAAAGGTGCAATGAGGTATTTGGGTTCCAAGTATGAACCAATTAGGTCTTGCCCTCAGTCTGTCATCATTTGTGCAGCACAACCCAGACACTAAGGGTCATGATTTCAGTCAGCTGATGGAATAGAATATGAAATGAAAGGTATTTCCTTCTCCCATTAAACAGCTTCAGGTGTAGTGTTTCTGTTCAATAAAAAAACATGTTTCCAAGACCTTCCTAAAAAAAAGCATATGGTACATTAGGCATTTTCACACCAAGGGGATAACTGCTCAGGGCACTGTTCAGAGTTTATGTCAATATATCAGACACCAGAATGCCTTTTCACACTGATGGAAAAAGGGCAAAGACCCTTTTGCAAAGGGTTTTGTTTTTTTTTCCATCACACCAAAGTTGGCAATATTTACACAAATGAAAGAGAACCAGGCATGTCAACCAATATGAACTCTAAGTTCGAAGTGAATTGTAACATGGAGACTTACATTGCCACAACATTGCCATGGAGACCAGAAATGAGTGACTGAGTCCACGTATGATCACATTTACCATGCCTATCATAACAGTTGTTTGCACTTAAGTTATCATGCCACAACCTGACATATGAATAGCTATAAGGGGCCTTTTGTCAATAATAACTGGCCAACAATGATAACAATCATATGCCAGTTGGCAGCAAACTTATTATGTCCTCATACTACATGATGTCTGTGTTTGCACCAAGAACATATCCCTTTATGATGAAATCTCTTAAGACTTGATAAGACATATCATTGGTGCTGAAAGATCAAATAGGAAGGGGAGCATCAGGCTTGAGATGCTAACATGCATGGAGGTATGGACTGATGCGATTTGCATCCTAACATGAGATTCATTTTTATCCAATACTCTGCTCTGTGCAGAAACTACAATAGATGTAAGACTTCAATACAAGCTTGTACTATAGTGCAACCTACAGTAATCTGATAGTATCTATAACTTAAATTGCTTAAGGTATACTCCTTTTCCCTTCTACAGGATGGTCAGAAATGAGAAAGATTGTAACTAATACTCTAGCATCTCAGGTGAATTTAGCACCTGTCCTGCTCCAACTGCTCATCCTTTTATATCCTCCTGAGCATTCTTCACTATCAAATGTCCCAGGTTCATGTCCAGCTTCCCATGGGCTTCTAACTAATCTTTGCCTTTGACTTCATCAGCATCATCTGTGTCAAACCATTCCTCAGAGGAAGAACTATGATGACTGATTAACCTGCTGGATGTACGAGAGAGCCTCAAATGGCCCTCAGTGACACTTGATTTCCTGCAGAGTGTACACCAGAGATGCTTCCCATCTAAATCTTGACCATGGTGTTTTCTTCTATGTGCATCTGCTACTGATGATGAGTGATGTCGTTTCAAATAGATTTTCCTAAGAGCTAATGCACGTAAGTCAGCACTTGGACTTGGGCTGTGGCTTGATTCTGAAAGAGTACGCAATCTACTGGGGGAAAAATGGGGACTTTTCAATGGCCAAGCATCTGATTCCATGCCAGATGCCCTTACAGGTGTACCAGCTATAACACAAATCTGATGATCTGCAGGCAAACAAGGGCTCCCTACAAGTTCAGAAGTGGTATGTTCTGTACCTGGCACTGCTTCCACTTGCTGCAGTAGGAATGAAAGGTACACTGGCTGTGAAAGTAAAAAATACTATGTCAAGACCTTCAAATAATGATTTCTCAACAAAGATGACATGGAGTCACTTCTTACTTTGTGATCCCCGGTGTATAATCCTCTCCCCACCATATTATATTGAACAGAATCACTATCTCCATCAATAAAATGCCTCTGTGCAGACTGAGACATGAGGATACGGTCACACCAGGCAGGGCATCTTGTTTGCATGAATGATGATGGAGCTTCTAGTTGTTCTAGGTATGGATACGTAGGTGGGAATTGAATTGGCATTTCATGCAGGTTACCCTCAAATGACTCCAACTCATACTCAAATTCTCTCAACTGAAAAGAACACCTCTGTTCAACATCAACACTCCTTATGTAAGAAAAATCAGAGAAAATGTCACATACCCAGCTCCCATTGTCATTTTGGAAGAACTCATCATGGTTCTCCAGGACAAAATCCTTCTTTCCCACAACCAACTTCAGCTAATAGTAGACATTCATTCATCCATCATGCAGCCAATAAATGAAGACCACAAAAAGAAAGGGTTTTGCTTAGAAAATCTACTCACTGACTGTGCATCTCCAAATCGCCATACTTCGTCATCTTCAACCTCTTCTACAAACTTCTGAAGACCATCAGTCAATTTCTGGAGACATGCAAACACAATACACAAATCTATCATAGTATCTTATGCATTCCTTGATGCAAAAGAGGGCTGAACAGTTTTTGTAGAAAATGAAATACCTTCAATTGATAAGGAGTCAATCATTAGTCATTAACTGACAGCAAGTGAGGAGAGATTAGTGATATCTCAGAGTTTCAAATCATAATATCCATGACCTTTCTTCTCCTCTAGTCACCTCAACAGAATATCCAAGACAAGTAACCAATGACAAAAACACCTTGAAATGGTATTCAATTGAGAAAAAAATTCAAACCAAAGCATTCGGATAACTTTTAAAGAATATTGCTTTTTACACCAGGAAATTTCAATTTCCCTTTGGTTCTATCTTGCTTCAATATCAATGTGAGGTCAACTTTCCCCTTGTTGACACATGCCATTTTAGTAACAGTAAGTGAGGTAAAGAAGGCTTCATGATAAAACTAAATCTATTTGCTTGAGGGAGGTTGAAATGAAGTAATTTGTGCAATTTTGTTATCAACGGTAACTAAGTGGCTTGTGGGAATAAGCAAGATACGAGGGTATTTCAGAAAGTCCGACTAGTCGGTCAAAAGTCGTCGTCGGAGACGGTCGTCAATTTTTCTGGGTGTTCTTCATTTATCGAAAAGCTTATTCCCCGAGTTTCATTATTTTAGGAAACGATGGAGACAGAAACAAAGAAATGTGAGCACGATGAGGGTGGTCCGCGCAACGATTGATCGAAACCACCCACCCTCAACGACGAAACCCTTCGCGCGTTCATGCTCTATGATTTTTTGGCTGGGAAAACGGCGACAGAAAGTTTTCGACAGTTGAAAGAAGTGATCCCTGACCAAGCCCCGGTGGTCTCGACTGTGTGCAAGTGGTTTCGTCGATTTCAAACCGGGCATTTCAGCTTGAAAGATGATCTGCGTGAAGGATGACCGAAAACGGCGACGGATGAAGAAATGGTGAACTCAGTGAAGGCTTTAGTGGCTGAAGATGCCCGGATTACCATCTGGAAGATCCACAACATGCTGAAGATCAGTGCTGGATCGATTTGGAAGATCCTTCATGAAGATGAGCCGAATTCGTTCTTCCGACGGGTGACCCAAGGCTCCTAGGACTTCCTACTAGTTTTCCTTCGGTCCCACTTTAGCACGGTTCTTAAGGACCAGGACAAGTTTCTGCCGTTCAGAGGGTTTAAGTAGAAGCTGGTCACTGGAGATGAAACCTGGTTCTACAATGATGACCCTGAAACCAAAATCCAATCCATGATTTGGTCTGAAGTTGGAGCTGCCCCGCCGAAGAAAGCCAAACGATCCAGGTCAGTGGGAAGAACCATGTTCGCCATTTTTTTTGGCATCAATGGGATTGTCGCCTCAGTCCCTCTGGAGGAAAGGGCCACTGTGACGTCAGCCTGGTACATCGAGAAGTGCTTGCCGAAAGTTTTTGAAGCCATGGCCCCCAATGAAGACCAAAAGAAACTTTTGAAGACAAAGTTCCTGCACCATGACAAGGCGCTGGCTCACACCGCCAAAAAGACTCAAGAATTCATTGGGGCCTCTGGTGTCAATTTAGTGTCCCTTGCCCCTTATTCTCCCGATCTGGCTCCTTGTGACTTCTGGCTCTTTCCAAAAATTAAGGCCAAACTTCGAGGCCAAGTGTTTGCGGATCGAAAAGAGCTGATTTCTGCTGTGAATCATGAGCTGTCCCAGCTGACTGATGCGGATTTTGCGCACTGCTATGAAAGGTGGATTTACCACCTCAAAAAGTGTGTGGAAATTGGTGATTGGGTCGAGAGGTCATAAATGAATGAGCTTTCAGGTGACATCGAGAAATCCTGGTGTAGTGCCTTCTTTCCATGTGACTAGTCGAACTTTCTGAAGAACCCTCGTACATAATTAAACATCATAAATGAGTTAAACTAGAACTTTCATGTATGCACCCAAACAAAACAAAGTAAATCAATCAAATCTCACATCAATTGCTCCCTGAGTATCTGGTCGAAAATTGAAGTCACCAAAGAGGAACAGGGGAATTTTTGGCAAATCATCCACCTCGAACCTGGTATACAAATAAAAGTCATTTGAGGCATGTGATTAAGAAGTTTAACAGAAGCCTATATGAATTCCAGGTGGTACAATGACAGTTGAGAATTGAAAATGCAGCTAGACAGACTTGCAAAAAGAGAGACTTGATTCATACCGTTGAAGAGTATGCATCAGTGCTCTTCTCCTGTTCAAGCAGTAGATACTGGGACACTAAAAACAAGAACACCAAAATAATATATATTGATTTAAAGAGTTGATGTAACCTTCATCAATGCTAGTATGATAAACCTACAGGACAGTGGACCTGGGGGTCTTTTCTTCTCTAAGACCTAACCTGTTTCCAGGATTAATGTCTGCCCTGCAGGGTTGACCAACTTAATAGAAGCCGGTTTAAATGAAGCCATCTCTTAAATAAATAAAAAAGTGATTCAAATCAACTTTCCTATATTTCGGCTTTTGAATGCTATTTCTTTAAACAATGTAATTTATGGTAGATTTGAAGCTTCAAATTCCTTATTTATACATATTGTAAGCTTCAGATGTCCTTAAAACATGAAAATTAATGCCTGATATGCACTATTTTGCCAAAAGCCAAAACCCAGCAATGAACATGGCCAGAGTCAACCTGAACCAGTGAATATGATGCTGGGTACCTCTAGGCTACAATGAGAACTTGAACTCAGCCTGGTCAGGCAAAAGTTACCTGTGTGCTCACAATATTTCCATCATGCTATGACAATGCATTCCACATTTTCAGGGCCGGTTCAGAAAAACTGAAGTAGCTAGGTTGGATTTTCTGAAGAAAAAAAAAAATCAATTACAATGCCCTGTAAGAGCACACTAAGCTTGCATTGGGCTGCCATCACCTTGTCAACAAATATTCCAGACCTTAGCCAGGCCTAATGTACCAGCTATTATGGTTACTGAGTAACATAGTAGTGTCACTGCTTGTCAAATTGAAAAGTAGCCGTAAGCTATTTCCCTGGTGTCCAGATATCAAGATAAGATTCTCAAGATTCAAGATTAAGTATATCATTTCCTTTGTGTTCAGAACATCATTTGGGAGGAAGGTGGGAGATTAGGTGTTAAAAAAAAATAAAAAAACAAGATTAGAGTCATTTTAAGGGCAAAGTAGTTGCAAGAGTATTAGTTCAAGGTAGGTAACATTTTAAAGGTGCATCACAGTTTTCACTCCATGCACCTCACACCAACACTCCTGGTTTAGCTGAGAAAGGAAAAAAGGTGAGTAAAACAAACATAGGACAAACATGCAATGTTGGTAAAACTGAGACAACCATTAGTAGACTCTGGACATTCATCTCAGCCTACTCGGTTGAAGGACAGCAACTGTATGAAAAGATATTGAGTACACTGTGTTTTTTACCATACAGAACATGAAAGAGTTTTCCTTTACATTTTTAGTGGCTGGCACACACTGTTTCTCCTGGTGTTTGGCACAACTGATCAATAAGATGTCATTAACAGTGCATGCAGGTAGTGCAAGATGATTTTTTCAATATTGCTATAAATTGTGGCACCTATATGGTTACAGCACTCAAGCATGTGGTAATTTCCAGCCAGCTTTCTCAGTGGTTTTTGGATTTTTAGGACACATGCTTGTTTCAGAATTTTTCCATAAACAGGTATGCAGTAGAAAACAGCTGATAAGATGCAAGCATCAATGAAGAGAGTGACTGCATCTTGCCTTCCTGCTGTAACTTTTTAACAGCCAGGAACTGTAGAATACCAGTGAGAAGCAGTTGTTAGGAAGAGCTCAAGGAGCAAGAATCTCTGGCTGCCATGGTCTCCAGACTTGACATCACCTGACTATTTCCTGTGAGGATACCTCAAGGAAAGGGTATACGGAAGCAATCCCAGATTTGGAAACATTGAAGCAAAGTATTGCACAGGCTATTGCTGGCATTACTCATGTGACCCTACATAATGTTTTGGCGAACATGCACAAGCATGTTGCAATGTGCTTGCAGGAATGCGGTTGTCACTTCCAAAATGTGCTATGACACTTTTATTCATAGGTGAGATGTGTTCCTTCAATATTACATCATTTTTGATTAGATATTCAATTTAAGTTACTAAAAATATTGTTGTATATAATGAGTTGTATGAATTTTGAAAGACCCCGTAGTATCTCAATTTGAATAGTCAAACTAGGTGATCTCCATGAGTAATGAAAAAAATTACAAATTTCAGCTCTGTACCTTTGTCTCTAACAGTACTGAATACAAGCAGTCCCAATAGTTTGCCCCTAAAGGAAAAGCAATTGTAAAGTTCAAATATTTATCTTTGGTCCAAACTGAGCTAATAAAGTGTTTTGAGCTAAAATTAAAGCTAAGATAAAGCAGAATCAGATTTTTTAAATGCATTTTTCCTTATTACCAAAAAAATTTGAACAGCAGGAAACAAGATAACCCAATGGGCTTTGAGAAAATTGCAATAATACTCAATAGCAATGTAAACAGCTACAATTTTGTTACTGTTTCTAACAATGACAAAAGGCAGATGTCATGCAACAAAGGAAATGCTACATACACAATCCCCCCATATGTCTCTGTAATGATGGGATCCTGAAGGCCCTGGATAGCATGGTTTGAACAACCAGATAATTGAAGTCACATGACTTAGATAATCCAACAAGATAGCCACATGCCATTTTTGTTTGTTCATGCACAAGAGCTAAATGAATTGAACTCCACACAAATGGATGCAAATATCTATTTGTGCTGTAATCAATTCATGCAAACAGCTCATGCAAAGGTAGCTGTCCATCCCTTGGTCATCCAGGATCTTTCACCCATTGTTTAGACTGTTGTCTCTCTTTACTGGATACTTGTATTTCCCCATATCTCACTGCTTTTCAAACTTTTACTTCAACCTGCATTTCTGGAAAAGTACAATTTTAAGCTTATGCTCAGGTATCATATGTTATAACTAGGGCTGTCACGATAGCAGTTTTCAAAACATCGATGCATCAACCTAAACTATCGATAGTGTATCGATGCATCGGGGGTGGGGGGGTGCGCCAGAGGATTCCATCTTTTCTCGCTGCGATCGGAGTGCGGACTTCTATCCGGCTTCCATAATCTCACGCTTGTGATTGGGGTGCAAGGGGAATGTGTGACTTTCACAAAGAATAATTAAACCTACCATGCCTGCAACTATCGAAGATGACATCCATTCATCAATGGATGCATCAGGACAGTCCTAATTTTCTTAGTTCTACACTGTCTTTGGGCATCGGCACCAGCAGATAGGAAACCTGCTGATGGTGCCATACCGGTGGTTGCCAAAACATTGGTACAGCCGTAGAATAAGCAACGTCCATGTAAAAAATTCACTTTGATTTCACCTTAAGTAGAGATGAAACGCCCCAAGGTAAGTTAAAAATTATGAAAGTTAAACCTGCATACTAAAGTGATAGGAATATACAGGGGGTTATCCAATGTATGTTTCGAAATCAAGGCTGTATAAGAACAGTCCACTTCCGCAGCATGCACCTGATGAGATTGAGCTGGGAGACTGAAGACAAAAAAAAAATTCTTGGGCTTCCCTTTCTTTTCCCACTTCCTGTCTCCAATCTGACTTTTTTTTTCCCTTCCCGTCATTCATATAGTCAGTCCCAACATTTCCGGAATTTGATTGTGATAAGAAATTGCTCGCCCATGCATGTCACACCGCTTCTTCCTTTCCTCGCCCGGACGGACTGTATTGTACAGTACTCGCCTCAATTCAATGGGACATTTCCCCTTTAAAATATTTTGCTGATGCATCGTGATGGTCGAAAAACTATCAATATCTCCAACTATCGATAGTGGTATCGATGCATCGATCTATCATGACAGCCCTAGTTATAACTCAACATTCATGCAAGTCTGAAGAAACACTGAAAAATATACAGGCACCAGGATGCTCCACTTACGTTTCGAGCAGCAACGATGTTTGAAGCGTCATGGAATAAATGAATGTTGACTAGATCAAAGGAAGACTTGCCATTGAGCCGCCATCGTGTCCGTAAATAGCCCTTCCGGGACCACTTACACTGAGAGAGAAAGGGACCGTAATACTTCTTGAGTGTCAAAAAGCAATCTTCCTAGACTGCAAAAATGATTCAGGTGAACAGGGATAAAGAATTGTAGCTAGATGAAAGTGCATCTGGTTAACTGAATGGTTAAATTATAGGAGCACCTTTTCTGCAATCTTCTTCCTGAGAGAGCAATATGCTATAGAACAAGATTAATACAGATAACTGCTGACAATGTCCACAGCTCCCAACCACAGCAAATGTACACCATTACACTCGTATTACCCAATATACAGGTATTTGAAAAAACCGCGATAGAGTGAAGCCGCGAAAGTCGAAGCGCGAAGTGGTGAGGGACGACTGTATATAGAATGATTCTGTTGCAGTCAGATGTAGATTTTGCAATGTTCAGATCACAAATCACTAGCCCATTTAAGCTTGGACAGTACTGAAGTTCAACCACCACAAGACAAACTGTTACAAAGTTAAGCATTCATGAGGTCATCCTCAGAAACAGCTCTTCCTAACAACAAAGATCTGTTTCTAAAAGAGAGTTCATGAATGCTTGGCTTTAAAACAATGTATGGTATAGTGTCTGAACTTGGATGGTTTAATCCTACTTCAGATTAAATAATAAAAAGATCTCCATGAATAAGCACACCTCATGTTTGGGTTGGTAATTTATTAAAAAATTAAATCAATTCCAAAAGGGATTAAGAAGAATGGCTATGAAAAACTTTATTGTCACAATTCATCTTCCATAAAAGGAGACAATACCTGAAATTACATTAGCATAAGGCAGGTAAGGAATTGAGACAAGTATTCTAAATTGGAGTATGGAATAGTTTACATAGTGAAAGCAATCCTCAGTGAAACTGTGAAGCTACTATTGGTGCCTTCATTAAAAAAGTTGGAGAGGTAGGGTACAACACCCAATGATGGGCATGTACTCGGTGATGGGCCACAGCACAAGAACATTCCAAAAATTAGGCACTGGTAGCATGAACACCTCTGAAGTGTGTATGTTCTTGCATGCTGTTAGCCTATGTCACAATGGGGGTAGGCATGCTATGGAAGCTTAGCTATTGAAATTTTTATGTGCTGTGTCCCATCACTGGGTATTTTACCCTACTTCAGGAATGAGACCTGTCATGATTGCTAACACGCATGTCTATAAATGTGCTTATTAGATCCTTTTATTCCACTTTTTAAGAAGTAAAAAAAAATCTAGAAATACAAAAAGGAAGCAGAGAGAGTTCAAGCTCATTTCTCTTTGGGAACAGCTAGTTATAGGCTGAGCAAAAAGCAGCAGTGACCATCTCCATTGTTCCCTGTTCTTTTCATCTTCTTCATGTTTCCACAAAAATTCATGATATGGATCAGCACAATGCTTGGGAAACAGAATTACTTGTCAGTTTAACACTAGAAGTACCAAGGATACATATATGCCTAGAAGTACTGGAGCAGTCATTTTGACCACTATATTAAACATTGCATTAAATCATTATTCTATAACATTTAATTTCTTTTTTAAGTTGTTCATGTACAACAGAACAACATTTTAAGAAAAAAATGGTATGTTCAAAAGTTTTAATATGTGGAATGTTGAAAGGACATTTAGCAATGTATATTACTTTGTAGAGACTAGGTGTTTATCAGCATAGGCATGATACTCAGCAGGTGTGCACAGCACTTGCCAAACCCTGCTTTCTCCTACATGGCACAGCTGTCATGTGTCTTGTTCCCCTCATCATGATCATAGTCATTTTCATCATTATTTAGACCTTTCTCATTTTCATTTCTAGATTCAGCTTCAGATAAGTCCTGTAATAGCTGTAAGACACACGTGACAACGTACCATGTTGTAGAACAACATGATACTGCATTGTAGTGCAGTATCACATTGTTTTCTTGGTCTATTCATTTCCACTGCACACAATTTCACAGCAGATACACAGATATAGATACACCAGATAAGTTGCAGGAAAAATTCGCCTCAATTTTTTCCAAAAAAGTATCCTACTGTAGCTCATACAATACGTATGCATAGCTTTGAAGTTCAGCTTCAAGAAAAAGCACATTTTCACAGCAGATCAGTCATGTGATTACAGCAGGTCAAACGTGTGAAAATGGTAGGTCAGATGCAGACTCACAGTAGCTTAGACAGTTGCTCACAAAGCCAAATACATTGATTTCTCTATGGCAGTCAAAATGACCACTCCGGTACTTCTGGGTATAATATGTTATATCTCCATTAATTTTGCAACCCTGGGTCTACTGCTGTATCAGGATGTTGAATGCTTAGACTTAGGAAAATTCTAAAATGCACAGGCCCTTAGTTGCCAAACAAGTGGAGTAAGTTGCATTTAAAAACAGCTAGTGGTCAAAATGACAAATACAATACTTCTAGTATTAAAGAGAAATAATATGAGCTTTGGGACTTTGCATTCTGAAAATACAAAGTGCATACCAAGAGTCCATGCCATTCTGGAAAAATTAGTCCAAGAGGCAGTGAATTTCAAAACCTCCTTGTTCACTTTTCCATATAATTTCCTCTCTCTATATACAGCTGCCACCTTTTTATCCAGCCATGGAAGCAACAAAAGTAGTCATTTTGGCTGCTTGTTTTAACCAGTGGAAAATTGTGGCTCCCGAGCCACTTGTGATGGATAACATGTTCCCAGTAGTGGGTCTCGTGTCAACTGATTTTTTTTCCACATGCAGCAAGAAATTTCACCACAGCTCTTTGCTTCTCAATTGGTGAAATACATATTTTAACTCAGTCTAGAGATGAACACTTCAAAAACAAATCACCACAACCTTATTAGCACTATCGCAGCAACAAAATAACTTTTTTGAAAATGACAGAAACAAAATCAGGTCGAAGGACAAAGGTCTAAAGACAGCAATGGCTGAGGCTAATGATTGGCCTTGATATATTATAGTTATGCACATAACCACTATAGGTTTGCAATACAGACATTAGTATGCACTTTGTATATACTCTTTGATATCTGCAAGATCATAGGGCAGTCTGACCCAAGTTATTTATTGTCTCAGACTTGAATAGAATCTCTTCATCTCACCTCAGGAAAGAAATCAAGAGGAAACTTGGCTTTTTCTTTCAAAGGCAAGTCTTCGATGTTCCCACCATGGATCTCTCTCCCAACTACCTTCATGTACTTCTTATCTGTAATCAAAACCATGAGTCTCCATGAATGTGATATAAATTATACATGTTTTCCAAATACTAGTGGGGTGAAGGTTCAGATTTTCTCCACAAATGAAGCCACAACAGGGAAAAAGTAATTTTGGCATTTGTCACACATTTTGTTTTTCACTATTTGTCAAAATGGCAACATAACCCTTGGATCAACATAAACATTGGAATCATATATACTTAAAAAATATGCTACTCCAATATAATTGTTTCCAGGGAGGCTGCAAAAAGTGTAATGTTTTAATGGTGGTTAGTATTTAATTCATCACCAAATAATATTGATTCTGTCACAAAGAAGTAATGATTCACCACCAGATTTTATTATTTTGTCACTCAATGAATTTACATCACCAAATTCCTATTACCATCACCAAATGATTTCATCACCAGACCTAATTAATCTTACATCAAATTCTCCCTCAGTATTTTCACCAGAAGCAATGAAATGATCACCAAATTTTATTGAGTTAGCATCAAATCATTGTCACATTTCATGTGTCAAAAGAAATCAAATTATCTTTTAGCAGGTCTGCAAGGGAGAACATACTGACTCTCCCTGTTGTGATTTAGCATTCCGATTGAATGTTTGCAAATGCCAGTCTTGATCTGAACAGGGCATGTGCATTATTATTATTATTGTAATAATTATTATTTGGTGGGTGATTAAATATCTTTCTTTCATGATGCTGCACCTCAAAATGTGTATAATTGATTTACTTCTCATAGAAAGGAGCTTGATAACATATTAAAATTAATTATTCTCTCACTTCAGATTTATAAAAAAGTCACAACTAAGCACACACTATTTACAAAATATTTGTGTGAGATAGTAACACTCAGCAGATTTACTCCAGAGCAGTAGCTGCTACGTGAGCATCTACTTGAATTAGTTCAACTTCATACCATAGTTTCAGAAAGGCACCCATGCACTCATGAATAGGGATTTCAGAATCTCACCAGAGAAGTCCCACATCTCAGCTGTCTCCACATCCTTGTGGATGAAGTATGCATTTCCTAATGCCTAAATGAAGGAAACCAATATCAATTGGTATATATCCAAAATCCTTAAAAATCTGGCCAAGGTGACATCATACATTCACTTACTGTGAATGACTCTGCACAATTGTAATCTTCATCCAATAAGACAAAAGCTCGATCAAAATCTTCAAACTGAGTGCTGTTCAACAAGGACCTGGGGAGAAGTTGACCATGGAATAAACTATATTAAAACTCAAATCATGCTTTTAGAGTACATGGTGAGGCAACATTAAAGACTAACTGGAATATTTCCTATTAAAAAATACACAATAATGGAATTTCTGGATCAAAATATTGCATAGGCATATACAATGTTTTTTACTAACTTTTACTTTGGATATATCAAGCATTAACCCTTTTGGTACTGGGTTTTTAAATGCCTGGCTGGCCATACAGATATGGATGTTATACCAAAAGCATTAAATAAAAATAAATAATAATTTTTTCCTCATGGAATATAAATTTTGCACACATTATCCAAAGCCACTATGATACCATAATGATAACTCAAGTGCTCATATTCTTGTAGCTATTATATACAAAAGAAAACATCAGCTTACAGCAGTCTTCTTGCATAACCTTTTGGTGGGGGGTACAGGAATTATGGAGTATCAAAATGATGTGTTATACATATTTTAAAACCTAATTTTGTTCTGATTTCAGATTAGTCATTCAAAATTAAAATGGCTGGGGTCATTTGTGATGACAAAAGGCAATGTGAGATAGACTGCAATCGAGCACATGCCTATCAAGAAGCAAAGGAGGCAGGTGCAATGTTTAGCAATTGAAAGTGAATTGCTCACCACTGCATCACAGTGAGAGATTAAGTTACTCACAACTGGAAGAGTATATGAATCATGCTTAAATGAATTTTGGTGATGACAGACCCAAAAAATTATACAGAGAGCAAAAATATTGTGATGGAGAACAGTGGAAAAATACAAGGAAAAATGCTGCAGTCAAGTTGCAAAAGACATCTCAAAGAGGTGTGGAAAGATTGTGGATTTGTCAACAATGCTGCATCAGGAAAGGAATGAAGGTTTTAATGATTTTTGAGCTTGGTTCTGACTGAAATTCTGAAGCGGTTATCCTTCAAAACTTTCAAAATGTTATTAATGAACTGGAAAACTAGTTGAAATTATACCCTCAATGTTTGAGGGCTGCCAATGACAGTCACACAAAATACTGATGCATTACTGTATTCAGGTTGAATAATTGTTTAAGTTGATATATTACTTACATTTGTTCTATTTGTACTTAAGGTTGTACCCCTAGTGATGGTTGAGCCAGAAGGTACAGGATGATTGACTAGTGGCCCTCCATGTCCCTAAAGATGGAATAGTGAGTTTTGAAAGCATTGGCTAGTGTCTTGAATTTTTTGAGTGGGGGTGAAGCAGCATTGTTCCAAGCTCAAGTTCATATTTCAAGTTTTTGGCGACTTCCTCCAAGAAAAGTGGATTTAAGTGCAGCTGCATCCTCCTCACTCTCCAGACCTTGCCACCAGTAATTTCTAGTTGCTTGGAGAACTCAAGAAGATGCTTTGAGGGTATCACTATCTCTCTCAAATAGCTCTTGGAAGTGTGATTTGGCAGTGGTTCCAACATACTCCCAAATAAACGTTTACCCATTGCTACCTTGTATGGATGAAATTATGCCAGTCTTGCATAGAGAAGCAGGGGAATGATGTTGAAAAATGAATGGTTCAAATTTGAGTTTCACCAAATATTTTTTGTTTCATTAGACTACTATGGAAAGTTTTTGATTGCCACCTGGTATTAAGTGGGCTGGTCCAGCTTTTTTTACCTTTCCTCACTTAACTCAAATTATGGAAGCATGTTCTAGCATATTTGAATGCATGAATCTGTGCATATTTGTCCTTATCATCCATCAGTATTACGAGTAATAAAAAATTCTTAGAAACTATGGATATATAATAATGGTGATGAAATTTGGTATGGAGTACTGAAACCACATTGTTCAAATTTTTCATTTGTAAAGCTTCAATAATTGATATTTCAATAATTTTTTCAGCATGGTCTCATGTCTCGAGATTCTTTAAAGCTTAGAGTAGTAGAATAAATTTGACACTGACAAGGACTGAATATGAGAATAGCAGTTTAGTTTCTTTAACCTTTTCGCTGCAGCATTTAAAGGAGTATGCCTGGTTTTGGCCCTTAAACCAATTTCAAAGACATGTGGATATTTTGAGAGGGTGTCCTTGGCCAAACCTAAAATTGCTTCTTTTTTTTTTAAACCTGAGCAATTTGAAAAAGTTAGGTTAGGTTAGCCCATTTTTGGCCTAAAACCAAAGTTGTTTAAATTAATATTTATGTAATCAGTTTCACTTGTGAACATGAACTGTATCATTTTCATCCAAATGTGAAGAGTTTAAAAAAGTTAGGTTAAGTTAAATTATTAAACTGTTTTCAAATGGGACATCCAATAAATGCCTTCCACATAGCCAACAGCTTAGAAAGAACATCATTTTGGAAGTAATCAATGAGCATTGGAATTGGAAAATTTAGCAAAAAAGTTTGAATGCATGATATAAAAGTTAATGATGCATTGTAAGATTTGTAAGATTTTACAAAATAAAATTCAAATGTATTTTAATTGACTTTTTTCATGGTAGTTGACATTTCCCTTCCCTCAAAACTGCTGAAAGTATGTGTTCTGATGAAAAACTCATGCAAAATAACTTCATCGTAACCTACTCAAACATAACCAAACTTTTTCAAACCCTTCAGATAGGAGTAAAAGTGGTATTTTATTACAAAGTTGGTATAAAGGACACCCTTACAAATGATAATGATTCATTGAATTCAGTTTAAGGGCCAAAACAACATTATATTGGGCATCCTCCTTCCTGTCTTCCCTTCCCTGCAATGCAAGAATGAAGTATGATGGTGCAAAAACCCAACATCCACAACTAAAGAGTGAATGACATTGCAACAATCTTAAATGTGATGTTAATAAGCTTTTTGTGATGAAGAATCTTGCATCACTATTACCCAACTGGATGTTTCCTAGCTTTGCCAGAAGCTCCTAGGTTCCTCACACCTCTGGTATATTGTGGGTAATATGCCTTCCTTTCCCCCATCCTCCAGAGATGATGGAATATGGAAAGGTACAATTTCACTTTAGACTAGCTTTGTGAATAACCTAATATCCATGAAGAATAAAATTACATTACATTGTGTACATAAAAGAAAACATACTCAATGAATTGGGGAAGGAATTCCATGCTGGTTTCATAATTCTTCCCTCCAACTTCTTGAAGATGAAGTGCAATGAACACTGGCTTCTCTGAAGATACAGCCTGCAATAAAATGGGTGCAAGGGTGATATCTGCCTGCTGCTCAAAGATTAAGCACACACACATAGTCCATGCTTTGAACATTTGGGGCACCAACACCATACTTTGAAACTGCACTCACCTTGAAGAAAGCCTCAGTCCAACTTTTCAACATGGTGGTTGGCTAAAAAAAGAAAAAAAAAATCAAGCCCACGTGAAAATATCATTCCCTTACTCTAACAGGCATAAAATCCAAGATGAACATTGCTGGGAGAAAAGCATGAAGTTCCTTTGCACTGCTAATTTCATATAGACTGAGACTTAATTTCTTATGAATTCAGAGAAGTTCTCTCCTTGTACAACATGGGTGCAGAATTAATGTCCAAAGTAAACAACAGGTTTAAAAAATGCCTGCCCAATCACTTTGCTTAGATGTAGGGTAATATTTTCAAGCTCAACTCATTCTCAAATTATCATGAAACTCAAAACAATTTATTATGGCAACTTCCAAGTTTCTGAGCAACACAAATCCAGGGGGGGGGGAGGTAAGGACTTTCTGGGGTGTTCTGGTATAATGTATACTTCCCTTCAGGAATGTTTAAAAATATCTCAAGTTGAAATGTTGCACCTCAGGAAGGAAAAAACTTTAGGAAAGTTTTCCTAAAAATATCTGCTATCCAAAAACGTCAGTAGGCTTATTAAAAAGCCTGCAAGTGCCAGAGCAGACATAAAATACAGGGTGAGTCAAAAGTCCCTGTACACCAATACTATACTACAAACAATAAAGCTGCCTCATTCTTAGTATTAGCGTAGCAACAAATGCTGAAAATGGCCTACGTGACTTTTGACGTGTATGGTGACCTAGACAACCTCCCTCAAATGGTGTCATTCCAAGTATTAATGTGAAAATGGTTTTGTTGCTTGAGGCTCAAATGTTTTTGGTGTACCAAATGTTTCATACAGCAGGCAAGTATGCAGAGGAGGTGCAACAGAAGTTTGTGGAAAAGTTTCCCTACACTCATGAACCATATTGCAACACAGTGCTGCAGTTAATTGCCAAGTTTTGTGAAACTGGATCAGTTGTGGATGCACCGAGATCCAGCAGCCTGCCAGTGCTAACAGAGGAGAAACTACTGGATATTTTGGATTGCATATTGCAATGCCCAAAAAAGTCCACTTGTAAATTGCCACAGCAGACAGACGTCTCATATAGCAGCGCATGTAGAGTGCTTGATATGCATTTGCACCTGCATCCTACAAGATAACATCAGTGCATGAATTGGGACTCTCTGAATAATACTTATCATCTACTGTAGGTGCACAGGGACTTTTGACTCATCCTGTATACATTAAGCTCCCTCAGCAAGCATTTTGAATAGTACAAGGTGTTAAACTCACATCCTCAAACACAGATCCCACATTTGCAGTGACCAGAAGAGTTCTTCCCATAGGAGAAGTGTCCCCATGAGAAGTCCCTGCCATTATGATGGTTACAACTTTATGAAACACTTCTTGGGAAACTTGGCAGAAGTTGGAGAGCCCATCTCATCCACATACACACAATGAAAATTTTCATTCAGTTCAATACCCCTTTTAAAAGGGAAAATACAAGATAAAGCTATAAAATGAGTACCATTGCATCTGTCAGGTGCAAATTAATAACCTGTTAGAGAAAAAATAAAGTATGTGCAATGGCAAATTCTCACAGGAGAATAAGAATCCTTCTTCAACTTTTAAAGCCAAAGACACATGAATTTCAATTATGTCAAACAAAAAAAGTATAAGATTAAATCATAGATCTGAGTTCCTTGAATGTATTAGATCAGAAAACACATTGCATGGGTATGATATCTGCCTAAATTATATAGGGTATCCATGAAATACAGGCAGTGTAGGAAAAACAATTTTTCCCCACCTCAAACTTGAGGTGACAAATTGGAATTTCCTGGGAAGGGTATGCAAGCAGACTAAGCAGGCTGCCCGCCCATGTGTCTCTGTTCCCGCAAACCTTGTTCGCAGGTTCACAAGGGTTTTCCTAGCCAGCCTAAAGGTAACTTTTTGAATGATAGAATCTGAAGTAGCATGTCATTCATTGTTAGTGGAAAGACTAATCTACAAACTTTAGAATGGTTGGAGAACTTTTATTTGTTACTCTTATTTGTTTCTTCCATTTGAGACTGAGTTTTTATGGCCAAATCTTGGCATAAATTAAGAAAAACAGATTTTAGCATTCAGAAACAAGGATTCAGGGGTTTCAGTAGCTTTTTTTTTTAAGATCTACAGGGTGTCCATAAAGGTGTGACCCAAAAACAACCTGTCACAATTCAGTAGCAAGGTACTTTATGGCTATGAAATTCATGCATAAACTTACCACCTGTACATTTTTGTGTTAAGGTCCTTTGTCAGAAATATCCATGTTAGTCCTCTACATGTCCACCATCTCACTGATGACACAATTCCCAGTAGTATGTGAGTGTCAACCATGTGTATGCTAACCTTTCCTATATGATGCTGGTGAATGCTTCCTGTATACAGTTCTTAATGTCTAACACATCAGTCTCTTGGCATACAGCTTTACTTTGGTATAACCCCAGACAGAGAAATCCATAGGAGTGAGATCAAGAGAGAGGTGAGGGGATTGGCCCCCCTTATTCACACCACTTGTAGTGGTGTGGACAAGGGGACCCCATCCCCCAACCAGCTAACTTACCAAACTTGATAAAGACCTCACCAAAAAAAAGAAAGAAAAGGCAGTGAGTTTATGCATGGGTGGTTTAATGCCAATAGAGTACCTAGCTACTGAATTATGACTGATTATTTTTGGGTCTTACCTTGATGGATATCCTGTAATTTGTTGAAGCAGTAAAGTAATGACTATTCTTGCCAAGCAAAACTGGCAACATCTGGAGAAGGTGCTCCAGAAGCTTAGTTCCAAGTGAATGGATTGCTCTTGTCCATTATGAATCATTATGACACTGCTTCTGACAAGTTCCAATTGAAGTGAAACATATGCTTGAGTTCAAATGAGAATGTGAGGAATGTGAGTCATGAAAAGTAGATTTTTCTTGCATTTGACATTGAAAACCAAGTAAACATTTTCCATAGTCCAGAGAATGTCTTGTACACATGTGCAGGACATCACCAAAAAGGAATCATGCATATTGATTCATATGTCCAGATTCCCAGAGAATTTATTGCATTGAAAATATACAAATAGGGGAGGAACAGCCCAAGGGAAAAAAGGCATACAAAATAAACTACGAAGATTTACCACGATAAAGCTGAACAACTGTAGCATGGATCAACAAACAAAATGCAACCTACATACTGAAGACAGAATATGTAATTTAGAACATAAATTTACAAGCCAATAGCTATCAGCCTTGTTTAATGAGCAAACAATTTCAAAGATGATTCCATTGAACCAAGGGCATATTGTGATATATGTATGAACTACAGTATCTCAGATCTCAGGAATGACTAGCTAGGTGGGGATGTTGATTTCTTCTTCACAAAGATATCTTTAATGTTAAGATTCACCTTTTCCTTCCTCTCCAGAGGGACAGAGTTCAAGCAGAACCTGCACAAGCAAAAGAGGGAATGAATTAGCACTTCAGTTTTGACCAATGTTTTGAGTTCTCCTAACCACTTTTCAAAATCCTGAGCTACTCTCAACAAATATGATACCTTCTATAACATTTAGGGCATAAAAAATATCACACTCCATTTTGCAGCAAGCAGGCATGAATGAGACTCACCAGACTTTAAAATGGTTCAGCATGGCATGGAATTAAGCAGGGCTAACTGTAAAGCAATAAACTGGCATGCTAGTTACAAGAAAAATCCCTTATAGCTAAAATTTATCAAACACAAAACTATTTCCATGTTAGAGTGCCATGAGTTCATAAATGGAAAAAAAACAGCAAGTCTGCATAATGGCAAATGACAGAAAAATATTTATATTTCAGAATGAAAGATGTATATCAGACTATTGTCTGTCTCAAGCAATCTAAGAAATAAACAGAAAAAAAGTGCAAACTTGCATTCTTTCTACATGATCTCTGTAATGCATTAATGAATTTTGAATCTGAAAGCCCAAGCAAAATTGATAGGATATAGGCAATAATGGGGAGAGTAAGGGACAAGAAAAAACAAAAGGGAAATATGTATATTTTTATTTTTCCATTTCTTGGATTAACTGAAATGGATAATAATTGTAGAGAATGAAGAAAAATCTGTGGGATTTTTGGTCACAACACTACATTATTTTTTCTTCCAATGAGAGCATTTCTTGGGATCATGGTTCAGCAATAAATACAAGATAATTACAATGTTTGAACTAGTGTGGCTATATCATATTAAAATAGTAAGAGAGACAATGTAGACATGCCTGTTTCTCCACTGACCATGGGGGGGGGGGGGGGGGACACACATTGCACCTACATCTGAAGACATCTACAGAATTTGTTCTGAAGTGCTTTTGTTCCTACAAGAGTAATAAGGAGAAAGTTGTGGGGGGTCATCTCACAGATTGAGATGGAACCTGGCATATAAACACCTTTCTGAGAAGTGAACCTATGCTAATTCATTCTGCACATCATCCTTGGTATCCAACATACTAGTGGCCTGCAGCTGCTATGCTAGCCGTCTAATAGGCGGAAATTTGAAAATGTTTACATAAAGATATGAAGAAGCAGTTTGGTTCAAGCCAAACATGAAAAATTTTGAAACAAACCTCGAGAAGTTCGAAAGTGTTGCAGCACAGCTAATTTTATTATCATCAAGACCGCACCTCACAAAAATAAATCATGAATGAAGGAATGAATCATGAATGGAAAAGACCATTTCAAATTCGAAAAGTAACAAATGAGGAAAAAAATTTATTATTTGAAGTTTTAAGGCCTAGCCTATTGCATAGAATGGCATAGCCTTGTAGGTCTGGTGTTTTGGGCTGTGGATGGCCTGGCCTATGGCCTAGAATGCCATAGCACCATAGGCCATGCATGTTAAGAGTGACAGCTACCACAACTTTCGGTCATTTTCAATTAAAGTATGAGATTAGATGGGTCACATAGCTTCAATCTCTGCTAAGTGACACCATGAAAGATCTGAAGATCCTTCCACTAAAGCTGACCTTGTTTCATACAAGCATTAGGGCTGGCTATGAGGGACAGCAAAGGCTACTTTGAAATAACCCTAAATAGTGTTTCATCTTTCATTTGCCACATTCAGGGAGGAAAGTATTCAATCTATTAAAATTTGATGAATTGGTTATTTGACTAACAATTACAATGATTTCAATTGGTTACCAGCCATAGTAAAATAGATATGGTATTCTATGATGGTACTTTATGTTGGCTGAACACCAGTCAGAATATGAAAGATATTGATCACGAGGGCATTTAGAATCATATCAAATGACCACAATATCACAATGGTCACAATATCCCACACTTCTTTGGGACAGCATAGGCTTTCAAGAACATTTGACCTTTCAAGGTCAAATTTTTTGTTTAAAACAGGAACAACCAGGCTGGGTTTTTACAGCATTAAAAAAAATTATTTTCAGCTTTGGGTGGGTGGATCAAATGATCATTTCTCACTAAAAACTACTAACTAAAAATTAGAAAAAAAAAGACTTACATTGGCTTGACTGTTCTAGTAGTTTTTTAGTGTGGCATTCCTCAAAATGCAAATAGTTAAGCAGTGACTGTGAAATGGTATCATTTACTTACATGGTGATGCAATAATAATAACTAACACTGTTTCTTCTTTTTACCCCTATTTGAAACACCTGCTTTGTGTCTAATATCATTTTTTAAATAAAGATGTTAAAATACAATTGAATGAATCAATTGCTTAAATATTCCTAATTTTTCAAAAGGACAAAGGACTGAAAGTGAAAGAGTTGCACCAACCAAGGAACTGTGCTTGCTGGAATGGTAGACCTTCTACAGATTTATTCAAATTGCTTATGAATCCTATTCAAGTATTCAAGCATTAGACTGCTGTTCCTATGCACACAGTGATCACTACTTTTTGAATGCATGTTGCACATGGAATTGAGAGAAACAAAGTCTTGAATCACATAAGTTTACTGAATGAGTTCAGACACATGGGAAATTATGAACTTTTCATATTTCAAATATTTCTATAAAAAAAAACACACAAGGGATTCAGACAAGGGGAATTAGCAGGAGCTCTTCAGTTCCACAGCTTCCTTGTTTTCAAGTGCCATTGATTGTAGATCTTGATAAAAAGGTGCTAAATTGTATAACCTTTAAAATAAGCTAGCACATTCACTGCCAAAGTCAACTATGGTTGATTTACAATGCTAAGAATGCCATCGTCGACTAGAAATGTCATGCATATATAATCCCACAAAGCGCGTAGAGATGGCGCAAAATGCGATAGTGCTGACATCCAGGGTTCTTCTCAGATAGTATCTGACACTAACAATAGCACTTAGCATTTTTCCATCCCTTGTTTACCAGCCCCTGCAGACGACTCACAAGTTGCAGACATGTGCTTGAAATGCGTGAGAGGTACACCTCAAGTGCGACAGATGGTGATACTGATTTCATGCCAAAATTTTGTACAGATTCTTCATCTGATCAGGGTGAGGATATTGAAGGTGGTGCAGGTACATTCCACCCACAAAAAAAAACCCACCAACAATAAATTCCTGTGTGCATGCTGCACAAGAAAAGTAAAACCTGGTTTTTGTATATTCTGGATAGATTGTTATTGGAGCCAAATGACTTTTACATTCTATATCACACCCTTGAAATCTACCAAGTTATTATTGAACATTTCATATGTTTAGCTCCAATAGATTTGCTACTGTAATTCTTTTTCTAAAACATTGCACACATTTTTGCAGACTCAGAAAAACACTGGCAATCTAGTGATGATCTCACTTTAACCCTTTAAGTGCTGAGTTTCAACTCGACCTCCTAAGTGATGTATGTACGGTGTACATGAAATCGGCTTGAAGGGTTAAAGGTCCAGCAGTGAATGTGCTAGGATCCCCTTCTCCACTTGGCAGTAAGAGCAGAATGGTACCAAATCAAACCCATATGCAAAAGAGTAGATGAAAGAAAAAGGCCTATTTGTCCTGTTTTGAACATATAATTATTGCTTTGTGGTGATTGGTCATATGAATGGTATTAGTTGCTGTTCCAATCTAGCCAGTAATATAATGAGGTTTCTTATTATCTACATTTGGTTTTGTCGGCATTCTTTCTCAACCAGTAAAAATGATCTGAATGGGAGGGGACACTTTTTTCTTGAGTCATCTACACAGTTTACGGGCTAAAACTAAAAAGTGGTAGTCAACTGACCTTTTGAAGGCTTCCAGTTCCTTTTCTGTTTCATCCAATGTTTCATCTTCTAAGTCCACATTCTTTGGGGCAAACACATTCTCTGTTGAAAAAGTAAACTTATTTTCACACAGTAAGTATAAGGAATAGCAAAAATAATCAAATGAAATGAATAAAATACAATAGACAACAGAAAGACTTCTACAATAATGTGAATTATCAGTTTGGAAAGAAGTAAATGAGCATGAACTTACCACTCAAGTCATCACTTCCACGACCCTTTTTCTTGCGATTCTTCTTCTTCCCCCCCTCAGAACATGTCCCAGTGATCCCAAAATCGAGGCACGTTTTGTCCAACACAGATAATGCTTCAATAACTTTCTCAGTATCAGGAGAAAATGTACCATTCCCCCTCTGATTAGACATCTGGCTTTTCCCCTTCTTTTTACTGGTCTTCTTAATCTTGTTTCCTGCTGGATTAGTGTCCTTGTTGTTTTTGCCTGCTTCAATGGGTGCAGTACCACATCCTGTCTTGGAGGGTTTAGGTTCTGAAAACTTAGCACCTACTTTTTGAGGAAAACATGGGTTTTTGCTATCATCTGATCCAGAAGGTGATAGGTTGTGTTCATCACATTCCTCTCCTTGATCTTGATTCATAGAGCCATGCATTGAGCATATCTTGGGACTTGGGCCAGAGATGCCATTGGCATTGAGCATTGGAACTGTTTGCCGGTAACAACAGGGCATGGGGTGATGACAATGTTGACGAAGATGAGAGAGATGGTGGTGATAATGTGAATGGGGTGGATGATGGTCATTCACGAATCCATTCATTGTGATTTTTACAGTCTTAGATGCCCCCTTGTCTTCTCCAGAATTCTCCTTCTCACCATTACACCTCTGTTTCTGTGGTTTTTTCTTACACTGATTCTTGTTTTGTTGGTCATTTTTCTTATTTTGTCCCTCCTGCATTCCATGAGATGGATTTTGCTGATCATTTGACTTGTAATCAATAGGTGTTTGGCATGTTGAACAGTTGGTAGGAGTATGGCACGGTAGACACATATTACTGTAAGCTGAACATGCAGCCCCAGCACACAAAGCACATGAACTTCCTCCGATCTTAACAGATGACTTGCACTCATCCACAGAAAGTTCATCAGAGGAGGCTCCCTTCTTCATTTTCTTCTTCTCTTTTTTGCTCTTAGCTTGTTTATCTTCATTCACTGCACATGACTGCTTATGCAGAAACTGATTGGAGGTCAGCATATGATTATGATACCCAGTGATAGATGTGGAAGTAGGTGCAGAAGATTGATGAGGAAAACAATATGGAGATAAGTTGGGTGGGCCTGGGTGTTGTGAAGTAGGGACTGGTGGACACATATTCCCTGGATACCAAGGAACACACTGTGGCGGTGGCAGAGGTGGTGGTATCAATGAAGATGTTCCTGAAAGTTAACATACAAGACCTTAATGACCTAAGGGTCCATGAGACAATATTGAACAGAAGCTTCCAAAATAATCACTAAGAAAATTTGAAAATGAGAATACTCAAGGAGAAATATTTTTTGCACCAATGCTATCTCACTATTTGACATAGGCTAAGGGCATGGAAATACTATGGAGAGGTTGCAGCAATAATAATATCTATAAAATTAAGGACAGAGGCTTTCCTGATAAGAGATGGTTTGCTCAACATAATTCTCTCTCATGAGTGGATCACACTCATGAAAATAGAGGGAAGAATGGCCATCCCAAAAATTTTAAAGGATGTTTGTTTCTTTATGACCTTAAAACAACAATAGGACAAACATCCATAAAAATGCTCAAGAACAAGTTACTTTTTCATGTATTTGCAAATAATTTTTTTTTGTATTTTCCCAAGTGACAGACACTTAATAACCAATTCCTTCAATTATTATTTAAAGAAAGCCAGAGTGGGCCTGGACAAAACTTTATGCCCAAAGTTTTGTTGATGATCTTCAACAGGTTAACAGGAGAGGGCTCATTCTTACTCTATATCCTGTACCTAGAATACAGCCAATTCTCCTTACCTACAGCACAGTAGTACATACCTTTCTTCTAAAATGGTCCAAAATGAGATTTCAACTCATGTTCAAGGGCTGCAGATCATAATGCATGACCAACGGTCATGTTGCCTGTATCGGTATATTAATTATTTAAGTGCTGAATTTTTATACAGGTGGTTTAAGTCCCTACACCAGTGCTCTGCAACAGGTGACCTGTAGGCCAGTGGACCAAATATGGCTCACGAAAGACCTCTCTCTGGCCTGGGAATGTCCAGTTATCACATATTACAGTCTGACAGTAGATGTTCAGTTGCATGTTTGACAGATGTTCATTCAAATTTTCATTTTAATGAAACTTGATAGGTGTTGGCCCATGAACATATAGCATTCTACCATCCAGCCCACTGTGAAATTCAGTAGCGAATCATTGCCCTACACAGTACTTCCTGCAGGTAGTACAAAGTATCTCAAAATTCTCAATAGATGACAATAGAATTAATTTAAAGTCTCATGTCTATCATTTATAAGCAATGGCAGCAGCAATGCCAAGGAAAATAAAAGGCGCATGTGCATCAATGGCAGCAAGGGCATTTCTTTTGCTGGCATTTTAATGCATCAATAATAGTTAAAGGGTTAATGAGACTTTTGGCATTGCTTTCATGAGATCATCTTCAACAAAGCCCTTTCAAAAGAGGTTGCATATGGACCATGGACCATAGGCTGCTATACAGGATGAGTCAAAAGTCTAATCTCATATAGGGGTGAAGAACAACCCAGGACCTTAGAGAAGCAGATATGCAATGTGTGCAATAAATATACAGCTATCATACCTGACATCCTCCAGTGCATGAGGGAATGCTTCCTCCCTTGCATAGACATCTGTTCCTGCCTCTAGGGCATGCAATTTGAACACCTCTTGTAAACACACATATGTTCCCTATGAGACTGGGATTTTGACTCACCCTGTATAATATCATACTGCTCTTCGCTTGCCTGGAAACTCCTTTTCTTGAGTTGATCAGACTTGAGTCAAATGAGTATTGATTGAAAGCTTGAAGCCTTAGAAAGCTTCACATATAATTTTCATCACATTGTGACTAAGTAAGAGAGCTATGATCAATTTGCCATCACATGAGTTGGAAAGTTGGCTATGTAAATCAAGTGTTTTTTTTCTCTGAGTGCATCCTTTGGCATACTAGTGACAGGATACTCATGGGTGCTGGGCACTCCCACCTCCAGATATCAGAAGTTAAAGAATCCAAATGGTAAAGGCTGAACCCATGCCAAGTATTATTGGACTATCCATGACAGTCAACTTGAGTCTCCCAAGGTTAGGCGTTATGGTTCTCAGATGGGAAGAGAGAGTTAGATGGAATTCCAGACCCGAGTACATTTCAATGGCACAACAAGATGAAAATGGATTTGAGTCTGGAGGGGTCTACCTGTATAAGGCACAGTGCATGAATAACCTATCCAATAAGGCAAAGTCATGGGTCAAGATAAGAAAGATGATATCCCTGTAAAAGCACCAACAGGATTGATATTATTGCAGTTCGATGAAAATATCTCCCCTCCATTCCAACTGGATAGAAAAAAGGGGTAAAATGACTTAAAAAATGATGTTGGTCAACTTTGCAGCCAGTTTTCAGTTTGTTGGCATTATATCACCTCCACCACACTAGAGTTCAAGAACCACCAAATTCTGCTTTGAATCAATATCCAAAGAAAAAGCCCGAAGCTGACCATCAGCCTAAACCCCAACTGAAAAATATCTAAACTGCTGCATTCATTCATTACTATGGTTTGCTCTTAAAGAGAATGGAAAATGTTTACAATTTCACAGGTAATTGGTAGAATCCAATGTCAACATTAGCATATTCTTTCAAGGTTACAAGGGTTGTGCAGACAGCACTCCTGGATGCAGTTGATATTTAGCTCATATGTTTTACTCAGAATCAAGATATTTGTAATGTACAGATACTGCATTTTTTCCATAACATTGGGCACATTTAGTACAATGCAGTACAACCACAGATAATTACCAGTTACAGGTGAAAAAATTATATCAGTGTGACACCTTGTGCCAGGCCTTGATCCTCCTCAAGTTTGATACAGGCACACATTCCAAGGAGGGGAACATGAGCTCAACGTACCAGGTGTTGCACATAGATGCAACCACTCCCCCCTCCACAGCTTAAACTATAAGAGCTAGAAAAAAAAACCTCATGAGATAGAGCATTCATTTTTGAATCTAAACATGTACTTCTCATAATTTGTGTGCACCCTGGCCGTGTCTCTGAGAGCTTTAATATGAGTGGGGTAAGATGAAACGAGGTGCTTAAAGAGTTTCATGTCATCTTCCATGTCCTTCAACACCCTGGTGATGTCGCTTTGCAAAGCTTCCCAAGAGAATCTGTGCTACTTGCCCTCCATGAGCATGAGCCTCAACTCAGTCTTTCAGGATAACCCCAATGTTCTTAGCCACATTCAGATCAGGAGTTTCCTGGCCATTTCACACATCCAACAAAAAATCAATGAGTCTTACAGCAATTGCAGTGTGATCAAAGCTTTGAAAAATAGGGCTTTCTCAGACAGAAGCTGAACATTTAATCTATTTTGAAACCCAGGGATGGGTAATGAATTCAGCTTCGGTATCATGAGCTCAAAACATAATAGTACGGGTGTGACCAATTAATTTACATTCTTCATCATCAAATGACATCAGAAAAAAACAAAATGGGATAAAATAAATTCAAAATTGAACAAGGATTTCAAATATATTTTAAATGTTTTCCTAGCTCCTATAGTTTAGGCTATGGAGGGGGGGACTATCTATGTTCAACACCCAGTATACAGTTTCCAATGAATTCAAAATTCCAAAAGCATGCATATCACTTTTTCACCTGAATGAAAACAGAAACTTTGCAATGAGCTCACATTTATTTATCAATTAGTTTGGAAATTACATTTATGGAACCTAACTTCTGCCCCAAGGGTCAAACTTCAATGGCCTTTCTCCTGAAAACTATTAGGGTTAATAGATCAATGCTAACATGTATAGTCTGTTTGTCCAGAAGTACATGTAATTTAGATACGCATAGGGGTTGCCAGAATATTAACTCACAGGATACTTAAGGACAAGGTATGGGAGATGAAAACATTTACATTTATACATGAAAGTCTGCATATAGAGAGAGAGAACAGAAGGAACCAAAGAAGTAAATGCACTGACCAAAAGTAAGCCTTCATGAGAACTGAAGCTCTCTGCTCTTTTCATAAGCAGACTCTCTATTGAAGCTTTCATGGCATGTCAAGATGGTTAATGGAAGATGAAGGGGAGAGAGACATTCTTAGGGAACAACTTAATTTGGGTCAATACATGCTAACTAGGACTGGAAGAAGAAAGGGGTTAAGGTAAGGTGACCAGATTTCAATGTCATGAAAGTTGGATGCACAATAAATAATTCCCCTTACCTCAAAAAAAGAATATGAATGTATTTGTCGGACTGACAATTATATTTATTACTGTCAAAACATGAATTAGAACTGTTACTTAATTGTGCATCCACAGTAGCACAACCAGCCCTAAAGTTGGGGGGGGGGGGGATTGAGAGTTTCAGGAAAGTTCTTTTGAGTTGTCTTTCAAGTGTCTCCAAATGCAAGAAGGCGTTATCAAATCAGAAGAGGAAAATGTGAAACGATGTCGAACACGTGAACATAGAAAATGAAATGGAAATTTTTCATTAAATGGTGGAAACAGAATTTAAACAATAAATGATACAAGCACATTCAATAATTCAATTTTTGAAACAAAGCTAAAGGTGAAAGGATCTAATTTTGGGATTCAGCCCAGATTTCAATATGCAGACATGCAACTGGAAATTCATTTACTTGTACGTTAATCATGACTTTTCATCCAAGTTGTGGTTTTTCAGAAAAAATTTCAGCAGCATCACATGTGACTGGTGCGACCTTCATCTTTCACTCCCATCTTTGTCCTTTTCTAGCCTCACTCTCAGGTCATTTGCTCAAGATCTCTTTCTGTGTCCCCAACCCTCGAAGAAGAGGGATCGAATGAGATTCTATCATGAGCAGGGGTTTTGGGAGGTCTGGCCTCCTCAAAAATTCTCTGGAGTCACTTACCCATACAATTTGAAAATATCTATTAAGATATCAAGTATCTGAAAGAAATCTCTGAGAACCATTGGATCCATTCTCATTAGACACTAAATGAGCCAAGTCCAGTCTCTGAAAGTTGACTCCTGTCCAGAATCACCAATGGGAGGCCAAAGCCTGGAGGCTACCCCTGACTCATAGACAACTATAAGGGTATCACATTATTCACACACTATAAAAGTAAATGATTGTAGGGGGGCTGGCTATACCATTTGCAGTGCACATGAGCAGGTGCCTGTTAGCAAGAGCTAGCATGTTTTTGGGCTTCTTAGTTGTTTGATAATCCAAATTCACATTGCCAATTCATATTTATACAGTTGCCATGGATAAAAAAAAAAAAGACAGAAGGTATGCTATTCATAATCATGATGTTCACTAGGTTAAGCTCAATGTGATATCATTTAGGAGAAGTTCTGAAACTTGCAAGGGAAGAAATTTGACTGTCATGTCATTCTCTCTTCGACATTTCTCAAAAGCAGGACATTTGGGCATCCCACCTACTTCATCAGGGGACATTGGGACATGTGGTCACCTTAGGTTAAGGGGAATGCCACTCCAGGTCAACTATGCCGCTGCAGCTTGGTTCTCCTAACCCCTGCTTAGTTCTGACCCCAAGGACATATGTACTGATTAGTAATGATCTGCACTGAATCAAACACTCATTACATGAAAAATAACCTATAAGGAAAGTGTAAGAGCACTTATTAGCCAAGACTTATTTTCTTTGATTCCGTGATGCCAGGATACCTCTTCCTTAAAAATCTATCCAGTTGAGGAATCAAAAACTTACCATTCCTTGGGGGCATGTGGAATGGGAGGGATGATGGCATACTGGGAGTTAAGGGCATCCCAGGCTTCCTCTGATTGGTATCCACAACTATCACATTAGATGGAGACTGCTGTGGAAGACTGTGGGGAGGCTCCTTCTGCAATGGAGGTGGAGATCCAAATGAACCTAGTGAGGGTTCCTTTTTCAATCTCACTGATGATTTGTTTGTAACACGGGTGATTGTGATATCAGGGGAAATATTGAAGTTTTTCACAAATGTCTGGATCACATCATCATCAGAGAATTGAGGCTGATTATGACTTTTCTTCTTTCTATCTTTTTTGGTCTCCTTTTCACTGGACACTGACGATGTCATGGCACCTCTCTCTTTTCCTACTTGCTCTTTGTTGGTAGAGACAAAAGTGTCTGTACTGTCAGGTGGACATCCAATGCCACTAGTGGAATTCTTTTCTGACACTGGTGAATTGCAACTGAGTGATGTCAATTGGGTCAATGCTGCTCCTGGGGAACTCTCAGTTGCTAGAAAGGGATCTTGAGTATCCAGAGGTAAGTCTTCAATGAAATTTTTCTCCCCATTCTCTATCACTGATGAATCACAAGTCTGCACATGGCTGTATCCAAGCATGTCCTCTTCTTCTATGTGACTTTCAACCAATATCACAAGTCTGAGAACTTCCTTCATAAGAAAGCCAAAAACAAGGCAATTTGCCCCATCTTGCACTAAAGTTTCCATGCTCATTGTTACAGCAAATGGTCCATCTTCAACAAGTTCAAACAAATCTTCCCCTGAGAACTGTTCAATCCATTCCCTTGTATGTTCATTCAACCTGTGCAATGCTACAGTAGCATCAAGATTTAGCTCCCCAAAACAAAGGAGGAGTTTATCAGTATACTGTGACAATGTGGAATGGGTGTGATCACCATGGTCACTCTTACAATCACAACACAAACAGTTCTTAACAGGATCATCTTTGAGCTCCTGTTTTAAAGAAAGTCTCCTGAAGTTTTCCAACAATTGGAGAGCCTCATTTTCATCTCCATTTGATGTAGGAGGCATACAACTGCAGAATAATTTCATCAAAAACATAATGTGTGTCAAAAGTGTTGTTAGGATCACAATTAGCTTTGAGACCTGCTTGAGAGATAATGACTGAGAATGAGAAGTCAGGTCTTTCCAGGATGACCTGCATGCTTTTGCATATTCTCCCACTTTTTGTAACCAAGCTTGAATCACCTTCCCTCCATGCAAGACTTTGGACTGAATAGCCTCTTCCATGAGTGCAACTGCAGTTGATATAGATCTCTCTTCCAAACAATTTTTTACCACTTTTGAGGCACTTCCCAGAACAGAGCAAATATCCAATGCAACTGATGACTGCATCCACTCTGTTGCTCTTCCAGAACGCACTGGTTCAGCCCCCAATTCCAATGTTTCCTTTAGCTGAACTTCTACACCTTCCTGTTTTAGTTTCTCATCAACAAGATGTGCCAATGTGAACCATGATGTAGATGATACAGGTGCACAAAAATGCCTCAAAGTCTGCTCCACATCCTCACTGATGCCTGGGGAATAAGAGGAATCTTTCTCCTGTTCCATTTGTCCCTCATGTCCCATATTCTGAACTGCAATGAGATCTGAGGATGAAGTGGCATCATCAACAGACTGAGGAGTACATGATTCCATAACACTGTCCTCTGCTGCTTGAGTGGCATTTCCTGCATCATCCTCCACAGGAAAATCTGAAAATTGCTCTTCACCAAGAACAGCACCATCAGTAGGGAGTTTTTTCTTCTTCTTTTTCTTCTTCCTTTTCTTTCCATTATCACCGACATCACTTGATCCATGAACCACTGCAACAGAAATCATTCACTCATATCTATACATCCCCATCATAAATAAAAACAAACATCGGAACACCAATGAATCAATGAGACCTCTCACTGAACTACACACTATGCATCTCATTGAGTAAAATGAAATATACTGGGTGGGTTACAATCTGTCACAGATATTTTGAGGGATATTGGGCAAAGAGTGTTATTATTCTACCACTTATTTCAACCTGGTATGTCTACCAGCACCCTTGTAAGCAATGACATTGGATGCATTATCCTTACCCCCATGGAATATTGAACTGCTTTACCAAGATTCAAGTTCAGACAATCCAAAATATATATGGCTACAAAATACATGAAATTAATCAGGTAATCTGTAATTTCCCTTATTATTTAGTGAAATTCATAAAGAAACTAAGGTGGCTGGTCAACAACAACACTCTTAAACTGAAATGGATTCCAGATCATGGTAATAACAATGACAATGGGTGTATCGATGCCACTGCCATATTTGGATCCATATCTGAACTGTTAGATCTAGAATTCTTCATTCTTCAATGAAAACATTCAAGACAGAAATGGAGGAGTGGATTACAAGATAGCACAACTGCGTTTTCTGGAGTATCTGCTCCAGGAAGTGACTAACTTCTGCAATTGAGTTAACTTGTTCATAGCAGTTGAAAGGTTAAGCAGAGGTAGCTGGGATGTGGAGTGGTAGTGGGAGTGGGTGACTGAAGAAAAGACTGTAGAAGAACTTAAGTTGCCAAAGTTATTTAAAGGCCCACTGCTTTTTGGCCACCTCAGTTTAACATGAGACTGTAATCACACATGATTTGGCTAATATTTGAAAGCTCACAATAGATTGAACTTAAAAAAAAAAGCATCTAACAGCACCTGTCTTCCAGAGACTTATTCAGTATGCAGTATAAAAGAAGCTTACCACCTCCCCATCTTCCTGGGGGTGTTACAATTTGATCATCCTAAATTGAGTCATCAACACATCATCAGTCCAATCCTTTTTATCAAAACACAAGAAGTATGAAAGAGATAAAACACAGCTCTATAGTACAGTTGTCTTGTGTGGGGTACATTCAAACTTGACAATACAACATATAGGGGTAGTGATACTTCCCACTCTAACTCCCTGATAAGCCTCCCAGGGTTTAGTCCTGAAAATCCATTCCTCTACTTACTTTTGTAGGTAAATATGAATGACAAAGAAAAACACGTCATTACACAGCAAAAAAAAAAACCTGAAGAGATTTTTGCTTATAAGGATCATATGTGCTTAAATAACAATTGCATATCATAGTACAAACACTTAAAGAGATTTTAAAATTTTAGCTTTTAATTATACACAGGCAAATACTGAAATATAATCTAGGTCAAATTAGACAAAATTCAAGTCATAACAAATGAAGGGCTTAAAAGAAAGGTGGTCTATCTTTGAAAAAATATTTCCTTGACCTCCACACAGAAACAGTGAAAATTCCAGAGCCCGTCTTCTTAAAAGTGAGGAAAAGTGGTATGTATAAGTAGACCAATTTATTATAAATATAATTTCACAAAATTGACATTTTCAATGAAAGGAAAAGGATTTATATATACTAAACCAAATCCATTTTAAAATAATTTTTTTTTCAAAGGATCAATTTTCTTTCCAGCCCTTCATATAAAGAATGAGATCCTCGAAGTGGCTTACCTTGACCATTTTGAAGAGTGAAAAGGACTTTCTCCTGTTCAGGATTTTCACCTTTCACAGAAATGGTAACAGTCGGATCAGCATTATTGGGTTGCATGAGGCGACGAATAGTGAGAACTTGAGACCGGTTATTCCCACTTCTCTTAGCAATACCCTCCATCAGTGCTGCCATGCCACTAGATCGGGAGTCAATCTTACTCGAAAAGTTCACACTTTCTTCACTGGATGCATTTTCCTGCATTTGAGCTTCTGAATATAGAGGGTTGGAAGGAGTCATGGAATTCTCAGGCATAGGAGACCATGGGTAACATGAGGAGGGTAGAGCAGAGGGATAGGCATACGAAGAATAAGGCGCAGTTCGTCCATATTGTGGATAAGGGGGTATACACCCATCGTACATTGCAGGGTGTATTGGAGGATAGTAATAAAAGCAGTTTGATGGGGCAGCTCCAGGATGATGGTGAGGAAGATGATGGTAGGTATTGGTCCCTGTGTTACTTCCACATTCCTGGCAAGGGAAGATAGGGTTGAGAACACTACTTCCATGGCTGGTTAATGTTGATTGAGATTGTTCCTCATCTTCTCGCTGCTTCTCCTCCAGCTATAGAACATCATAATTCTGAAGATTTTCCAATATCTACCAAGGCCAATTGCTTATTTTTTTAAAACTAACCTTGCGCTGCTTCTGACGAGCTTTCTTTGCGGCTTTCTTTGGATCCATTACTTTTGAGTCTTGATTCTCCTCCTCATTTTCAATGTATTTAAGGATTTCCTCCACATCTCCACCTTCTGCAATGTCTCTCTCATCTTCTTTTAAAGGCTCACATGAAATTTCCACTTTAGGCTTCCTGTTCTGACTCAAGAGCTGTTTCTCTCTAAGTCTTCTCTGAAGCCTATGCTTACTTTCAAAGTAGCAGTTGGGCCTGTTTGCTTTTGTCATGCTAGCAGTACTTCCAGCAGATGACAAGTCATCTGGAAACTGTAATACTGAATTCACAGTCAAGCAGAAGTAAGAAAGCTTGCAGATAAAGTAGCCCACTAATAATAAACCATACAATCATAAGCTCTGCAGGTAAATCCAATATCTTAGTCCTAAAGGAAGAAATCCATTGTTTGTATGCAAAGACATTCATGCACACAGGGTGTAATTCATTTTATAAATTTAACCTTTCTTTTACAGATGACATTAACAGAGAGCAAAAATTTGGAATTTAATAGCACAGCATCTCTAGACTGATTATTTTAGGGTATTAAGAACAAGTAGTCCTAACATGGCCACCATCAAAATTAATGCATATTGTGCAACATGGTGGACACAATGCAAAGGCCTTCCTTAGCATGCTGCCCAAGGGAATTGTGGCTTCTGGTAGAACCTTCAAGGACCAAAATGTCTCAAGGCTTAGCAGAAAGAAAATAAAGATACAGTTTTCCCAGTTCTGCCTTGTTCTCATAGATTTCTTTTCTCTTTGTACATATTTATACCCCAATAAATAATTCAAATCATCAAAGCTCAGGACACCATGCCAATAACTCTTATTGCATTTATCTAAAATTATTATAAGTTGATGCCATAAATTAGAGCAGACAATGTCTCCCAATAAAACTATAGTACATTGTTTTGAAGAAAAAAAAAGTAGTAGAGAAAAAGTTTTCACTTAGAGAGTGAGGAAAAAACAGTGGAAATTGTATTTTCTAGCTATTGATTGGTTTTATAAAGGGAAGGATATCTTTCCCTAATAAACATGAAGGAGGAACTCTGTCCTTGAATGTCACATCAAAGACAAAATGATGTCAAGCTGTGTGAATGGGAAAGATGAAGTTTCTTGCACAGTGCAAATATCTCTCCTGAGCACTCATCCAAATTATTCCCAAGTTCAAAGCTATCCATGAGGTGAATAGCTGTGTTAGAGAAGGTCAATACAAAAGAAATTTTAGTCTCTGATGACAAAATAGGCTTCCATTACATCCATGAACCATTATTTAAAATATAATACATCATTTATGCACTTTTATGGATGACCTTACAATACAACAAGCAATAAGGGGCTCCATCTGAGAAAGTCACTCAAATACTGGAATTCACCAGTGAGGAAAGTTGATAGTGGCTGTAGCATGTTCATCCATACTCCACCATATGTCATTTCAGTGGTTCATAAGATAGAAGAAACCTGAAGACCATCATACTGTACTGTACTGTATGTCATGCATGAGTCAAGTATGAATCCCAAGCAGTGTCTCATCCTGGAGATGGAAGCCTCTTTGCCAATTGACATATTTTCATATTCTATTGGTAAAATCAAAAGAGTTAAGGCATGAAAGCTGGAAACCAAAAATGGATGGCTTGCTAATCTTAAATAATTTCTTATGCATCATCATATGGTAATTTTTTTTACACAAGAACTTTTGAACACTGGTCTGTCTCTTTAGGTGTAAAAACTTTCCTAATCTTACACAATATGCAAAGAAACCTTAAAATTTGATATTTGTTATGAGGATAATTGGTTGCAATGATTTCTGTGATGAGGATGATGTCTGGGTGGATCCTTCAGTCAGGTGTTTCATGAATGAATGAATGTGCATATAAAATATGTATAAAAATAGTGTAAATGTTTTCACATTCCACAATTTTGCCCTAAGGAGTAAATAGATGAAACTGATGATTTCATTTTGAGCTTCTTTAGAGATGAGATTCAAACACAGCAATACAAGCACAGCAGCATTTTACACTGAGTCTAAGGGATAATTCTACAAATGTGAATTTAAATAGTCTATGGGAGGTATTGGTCCTTGACCAGATCTACGATGAAGTCAAACATTATTGCAACTATGACATCAAGGATCCGAACTCTCCACTTAACAGAAACAATAGGAATGAGTGAGTCTAACCTAGCCTATGGGAGCCTTCTGTCATACTCAAAGGCCCAAAGCTACATTTAAAAAAATAATTTCATGAAGCGAAGAGTCCCTCTTTTCCATAGATCGTAGCCTGTGTAAGGTGCCTCTCCCCCTTTCCCGTCTTTTCATCTGAAGTATCCACCCACGATGACTGGCGATACAATTTGTCCAAGTTTTACAACATAGCTTGTTGTCAGCAGAAATTTTCGAACGGAAAGCCTGGGATCAGCTCTTAACAAAAGTCCACCAAGACGACTTTAAGCAGCGGTCTGAAGTATAAGGCTTAGGGGCCATGATGTCCATGATGGACAACTCTCGTAGCAGACAGCAATTCTTCACAGCATGGGTATCAGTATTAGCGATGTTACAAAACCGAGGGAATTCTCGACCTTTCGATAGGCTCTAGTTTTTAAATTTTGCTTCGTGAAGGTTCCCTGAGAATATTTGCTGCTAAGATGTGCGATGTGGCTGCCCTTAGATTGGACCTACGGTTTAGATTGTGCATCCAGTGTCGCTTTTCAATGGCTGCTTTAAAACTCATGTCTGGCTCCCGTTTCGTCCCTAAAGGAATACCGAGTATTGAACCGTACTGTTAGGGTACGTAACCTAGGCCTACGCACAGAAGAAGAGTTGATCTCGTCCGCATTTTTGCAAGTTATATCATAATATCTGTTACACGTGTCAAGAGGTGTCCTCCCTGGAGCTTGCGAAACACTCATGACATTAATTTGGCCGAATTCTACGAATCTTGAATAAACCCGTTGAATGGTACCCGGCAAAATTTAAGCACAAGCCGTGATCTCTTTGAAGCCGCCTCCTTAAAGTTGCGCCATTTAATTTATGAACTTAAATTAATTAGAGGGATGATTTAATTGAATATCAAACGTAAAATTATGCATGATCTATTGTAAAAATCTTCAACTGTGGACTCTGCAGAGTTCACATCCTTTGTAAATGGCTATAGTTCAGCAATTAAAGGAGTAATTTCAGAATTACTTTGAATAAATACTTCAATTAAAGATACAATGTGTACATGTGCACTCCATCTACAGTTTCAGTTTCTTTGAGTGATGGCTATAGGTAATACCTGATTGATGAGGAATAAAGGCCTCATCAGTTGTAGGACTACCATGAGGGATTTTTTTAAATTTCAAGTCTCCATGTATCTACTCCAACCCTGCAAAGGAGCATGAGACCTTGAGTGCCTCAGGATATTTAGTTGAAATTTAAAAAAACAAACAAAACATCTGCTGCCTTTATGCAAACAGTTAGAGACATGAAAATTGATGCCAACTGCTTTGGTGTACTGTTTTTGGACCCTCAGGGTGCACTTGCAACTGTAGTAGGCAGTGGCATCTTGTAGATGGGTGGTTTTGGAGATCATCTCATGAAACAGATCCTATTGAAGTGTTGCTTTCTTCTTTCCTTCTTAACCTTTAATGCATGATGTAGCAGATATGCTATTTTCCAAATAAAAATTTTTTCAGAATGTGTAGGTATTAAGCTCTAGTGAAAAGTCTGTTTGTAGCAGATTGTCCAGTCCTTGTACCTAGTTCTCCAGCAGTTGCTAGGTGGCCTGCACTCATCATGGCAAGCAACCTATAAACACACAGCTTTGTTGTGTGACAGGCTGATGTTGGTAGAATTTTAACTTTATACTAATCCAGGGTCCTGGTTCATCCATGTTTTTACATTTTCATTTGTGTTGAGGTGTGTACCAATGTCGTCTGACTGACTGAGCTCTCTAGCCTTCATGCAAATGAAAATTTTGTTTGCAGCAGATGTCCAACAATAACATTTTTGGACCTCCTCCTTTCAAATTTGAGGAATGAATTCTTTTTTCCACTTCCAATGTTCTAGGACCTAAGTAAAACCCACCAATTTTTTTTTGTAAAGAAGAAAAAACCATGCCATCAAACCATAAAAGGGTTAACTACTTGGTGGCATAACAAACCTAATCTGAAAATGATGTAGACCTAGGCTCATTGGCAATTAGTGGTGTTTGTGATGGCTACCAATTTCAGGCTTATAACCATGTGATAATACCATGATGTAATACTAGAAGTCCACTGCTATGTTATAAATGCAGTCCCTTGGGCCAAGGGCTACCTGTTCCAAATGGCCCTCACAAATGTACCTCAGCCTCTTTTTGCCACATAGCCTTAACACCAAAGTAATACCTTCATTTACTTCCATCTAAAAAATATTATTTTCCATTCTGGCTGCTTTTGCTCTGCTGGATCAGTTGAATGGAGATTTCTTTTCATGAATGGGCCTATTGAAGCCTCAGTAGCCTTAATATTTATGGGGAAGGAGAGGAAGGCAAAAACAAAAAAACAGACAAAAGAATACCAGGGAATGGCAAGGAATCGAACCCAAGCTTCCTTATTGCTGGTTGGATCTGTTACCACTATACCTCTGAACCAAGAGACATACCTCTCAATTCCATCCACACTTCCGATGTTACATACTTAGCCTTCTAAAAGAAGTCTTGGTCCTCAAGACTTGGAACTATGGGGATCTGCTACTCATGCTCAGGTTCTTGGGTGGGAGTCTCATGTTATGTGGATACCTCTGGGTTCAACATATTGCCAATTACTCACTGCATCCTCACTACTTTTCATCATTTCTGGTCAATACCCTTACATTTTGTTTTGTTGGTTCTCTTACTCTTGACACCAATAAAAAGTCAGTGGCCTTAAAGGTTATGAGGAAGGAGAGGAAAGCACAAAAGGATGAAAGGACAGCCTGGAATAGAACCCAGGCCTCCTGATTGCCAGTCAGGTGTTTTACCCCTACACCACCAAACCTGAGGCATTCAGTTGCACCTCTCAAGGCCTTTCATACTGCTACTATTATGCTATGCCTTTAATTTGCTTCCCTTTCCCAGGTATCCCTGAAATGGTGAGTCTTGTGGAAGGGATCTGTGATAAGCAAGATTGATATCATGACAAGAAGCACAGGACTGGTGCAGTTAATGATACTCAACATAATCATAGCATGCCTGATTCTAAAGGGAGCTAGTGGATTTTCTTTTGCATCTGTTGCACATGTTGTCATGAACTGGACAAGAGGCCTAACATGTTACTTTCAAGAATGTTGTGGTGGCAAGTGGATATCATCAAATCTCACAGGTAATGAGTTTGGCTGCCATAGGCTGAATCCATTAGCTTGGCCTGTTCTGTCAGTAGCTGTTTGGTGCTGATGACCTACTCCAACTCAGCTTTGCTGTTAGTAGACCTACCCATATTAGAATAGGCTCTGTTTGCTGGCTAACATGTTAGATCTGACTCAAACCCAGAAAGCAGGGGATCAAGTCCAAGCAGTTGTGGACTGTCACCCAACAGGTAACTCCCCTCTCCGGAATACATGTCTTACTGTCATGGAGATAACATTTGCAATGGAGATTACTTGCACAAGACATAGATGTAGACAGCCTGTGAGTTGCCCCTATTGTCTGTAGAACCAGAGTGTGGTGTCCTTTCCTGAGGGAGTGTGATCAATGTGGCACCTTTGCCAAAGAGGCATCTGCTCCCTCTCAGTGTACTGTAATTGAAGATTATTTCTAGTTTTGTGTTAGTCCCTCTTCTGTATTTTCACTTGAAAAAGTCAGATTAGCATAAGTTCCATGGTTAATATTGATCAGGTTGTGACTTACTAATGACATGTTGACAGCTTATTGTTGAGTGTATATGGAGGTGACTCTTAAGTCATATTACCCTGCAAGATCAACAGATGCCAGTCATTGAGAATTTTCTGGAGAACTTTCACAAAAAGAATTTTTATAATGCTTAGATATATTCCATTTTCATTCTTAAGTAATTGTGGCTGTATATATCCAAAATTTACCCCTTTCAGCCCTCTCAAAAACAAACTGAAACTTCAAAGGCTGTGTTTTCTTTTAAGAAGGGAAAACATGATTTGATTGTTGAAAGACCTTTTCAAAGCATCTGGTTCCCCTTGTAGAAGGTTAACTTTTCCAATCTTTATCTCCTGGTGAAGCTTAACATTACCACCTAGTCAATGCTTCTAATACAATGTATGTAAAGTGTAACATGCATATTCTTTCCAGGAGAAAAGGTAGGGCTTTGTTCTCTGCTGGTAGAACTTTGAAAGAATGCATAACAGGATTTGAGTATTGATGTAAAAGGTGAGGATGGGAATTACTGGGAATCATAGCACTGCCCAGGACAAGATATATCACTGTGAGATTTACTATAGTCATGGGATAGGAAACATTTACAAGTTCATGGTCACAGGACAGTATGGCATTTTTCATCCTGTGCAGAGATATGCTGGGAACTGACCATATCACTATGGGAGGGGAATAAATGGTAGAGGGTGAGTGAAGGAATGATTTATTATGCCTGAGACATAGGTATTTTCAAATTTGAAATATATAAAATTTCAGCTCTTGTTAATTTATTGCACCAGAATTCCACATGCACTCAATTCGTTTTTCCTTGCCAATTCTCTTTCTCATCCAGAACTTGCATGGCAGCCCAACATATCTGAGCCATTTGCCATGACTGACAATCTTTTCAAGCATTTCAGTAGTTTTTGTGCCTCCTGTACACTTATCATGCAGATGCACTGAAAATAGCTCTTTCATTGGCATGACCCATGACATTTTGGAAATGCTTGTTCTAATAGAAATCACTGTTGAAGTTGGTGCCAAAGAGCTGATGAAACATCATCAAAACAAAGTACATAAAAACATCTAATTGAAGAAGCAATAAAATTGTTCAATTCTGATGAAATTGGTTCCAACCAGCTTTTGGCTGCCTGAGAACTCAATGGGAGGATATGCATGTGAGCTGGATGGAAAACTGACTGAGCATTAAAATTAATGTACAGGGTGTTCCATTGGTAGTCACTACCAATGGACGACTTTTTTATCATAGACTCTGAAGAAGCCATTTTTGTTTTAGTTTGTAGATTGACAACGTATCAACCTTGGAATAGTGTCAGATCTTTCCTTCTTCCACTTTGGTGTGGCCTAGAATATATTTCCCACATCTAGTGTTTTATTATATTTTTATTGATTTGAATGGAAAGAAATTCAGACTAAAATTTGAGCAAAATTTTGCTATTCAACCTTATTACAGCAACTTCTTTTGATCATCATGGTATTGATTGAAATAATGGAGTATCTTGGGAATTAAAAATCATAAAAATTAGGAGTTTACTATTTAAAAAAAAGCGTCAATTTGTCGACCTCTGATTTCCAGACATTTTTTAACCTTGGCAATTGCATTGTTGCCAACATCTGTGAGAATTCCACAACTTTTTGTGACACAAAGAACAAGACATATTCTCTTTCAAGTTGTTCAGGTCTATGGGCTTGTCCTCGCTAACAATGCCTTTCAAATAGCCCTAGAGAAAAAAATCAAGGGGTCAAAATTGGATATTGTGGGGGCCTTTTTCCCTGGCTGACAACTTGAAATGCTGTTCTGCCTATTTCTGAACCCATATTTGAAATAAGGTTTGGTAAATGAATTCTCAGTCACACCAGATTGCCAGAACAAAAGATGTGATACCATTCTGAGGTCTGACAATAAGCAGCTTACAAAAATATAAAAAGGGGGTTCCCCAGAAACAATATGAAAAAGGTTGCTCATAGGCAGTTACTTTATGGACATCCTGTATTTTAAAAATTGTTTTGAAGACTTCAAAAAAGGGTTTGGACCTCATCATCTGGATGGGAGATTTTTTTTTTTTTTTTAATAGGTTCAGTTTAAAAAATCTTATACATTGGCATTCCAAAAGTGTATAATTTGCCTACTTTGCTCCACTGGACACAAAGATATAGCCTCCAGAAAAATAATGGTTTATTATGGACCACCTTGTACCATAAGGTGATTTGCTACACTTCACTTTTCTTCTCCTGATACAGGTTTCCTTACTGAACTTTCCACATAGACAGAAATATATGACCATTCATTATCAATGCTTGACACCAACTGGAAAGCTTTCTCCAAAGCAACATCCTTCTCAGAGAGCTACTATCTTTAAATATCTACATCTTGAATGCCAAATTGGCAAAATACTGTAGTACTTCTTAGTGAGATGTGCAAGAGAACAATTTTGAGCTAATCTTTAAAGCTCTGCCTGGAAAATTGTCATTGTTTATTTTCACTTTGCTTTCTTTGGTGAAGTTTGTGTCTCTGCTATGATAGAGGCTTTAAGTGATACTTCAGTAGATTAAACAAATCTTGGAATAACTAATCTTTCAGTGATAATGGCTAGAGAAAATCTCACAGTTTGCTGTATTTGCTAAAATTCAAAACTGTCAGAGTACTCATTGTCTGATTGCCTTCAATGCCACTTGTACTAGCAACTCAGAAAGCATTACATTCCTCAGTATAGCTGAGAAATTTAATTTGTCTCATATTGAAATAAGAGGTTCAGTGGCAAAAAGAATTCCAGTCATGTTAAATGACAGTGAAGAGAATGTGGATGGTGCTCATATGATCCAACCTGGATCTTTGTCACCAATTGCTTTGACTGAGGAAGTTGAATGAGTTAGTATAGGCCTACAGGAATAATTGGCCATTTGGATGGTTTTCAGTGTGGTTGATTAAGTAACTGCTGGTCAGCTTTTCAGCTGGGTATGTCTGACCAGTGGCAACCTGAAAACCTATCCCTATATCTAGCCTTTCAGAGTAGCACAAGAGATTGAAATATGCTATAAAATTACATATAGCATAGGCCTATAAATGCTGTGCAGTCCATACAATGTGGAGTTGGTCTCTATCATGAAATTCTATTTCAGCTCTGCAAGTTGACCTGAACAGAAACATTCATGGGCAGGAGCTTGCAATTCATCTGGTCATGACAGCACTCAAGAGTCATCAAGAGCGCTCAAAAAAACCTCTTGTCATGGTCTTTCATGGTGGTGTGGGAACTGGCAAGAATTACGTAGCAGATTTTATTGCCAAGCACATGTTCCATGCTGGATTATCGAGCGAATTTCTTCATAAGTGGCTTGGCTACAGGCACTTCCTTGGGTCTGATGAAAATGCCACTGAATTCAAGGTGTGTTTCTGAAAAATTTCAGGAAGTTTGGTATTGTGTAGATCTACTCCATTGGTATCCATTACATTGTGTTGCCATATGGCATAACATTGTAATAGCATAACGCTATGTTGTCAGATGGCTGGATGCTTCAGTGTAAGAGGTCATTCCATACATATTACAGAGGAAGGTTCAAACTTGGGTCTATGATGCCCTCCAAAGATGTGATAAGCAGCTTTTCATCATTGATGAAGTTGATGCCATTGGTGATGGTGTACTTGATGGACTCACTCCATATATGGATTTCCATGAGGATATTGATGGAGTCTCTGCAATGTAAGGAATATTTCTACTACTCATTAGTAAATTTTTGCTTTTAAGTTCCAATAACAATAGAAAGTTGTTTTGACCAGTTGGTATTCATTTTCTTTTTAGACGTTCAGTGTTCCTGTTTCTCACCAATGCTGGGTCAGAAGATCTTATCCAAATTGCAGAAAAAAACTGGGAGAGTGGCCATGTTCGAAGCAACCTGAAATACCATGACTTTCGTGAAGCATTAGAGGTTGCAGCATTCAATCAAGAAGGTATGAACTTTAATGCAAAGATATAATGGAGTGCAAAAAAACGTTTCTATTAAACAGGAACTTTCCAGAAGTACAGGGTGATTACAAAGTAACATTTACACTTTACCACTTAATATCTCAAAAACGGTATGACATAGAAAACTGAAATTCCACAGGGGTGTTTCAGGGACCATGTGCTCAAAGGTGCCATAGTTCTCTTATGTTGTAGTTAGGGGTGCCACTGTGACTTAATGTTTCCACTAATCACAGCAACTGTTCAACATGTGCTCCTTCAGTGTACAGAATGCATAATGAAAAAGTTTCTTCAGAGGGACTGCGATGTTCTGGTACTGTTCAGCTCTGTATCTGAGTCTTCTGAAACAGGTTCTAGTGGTATGCACCACCCACAAACAAAATCCAAATAACTGCATTCTAAGCCCAATAGCCAACCCTGATGGTATGAGTAAGGAAGCTTGAGTCCTGATTTCATTGATCAATGTATCTGTGTATGAAATCATTGCCTGCATAGTTAGATTATTGATACTTCATATGTGACTCATCATGATCTCAAAGTGGGGGTCTTGCTGATATACACATCTGGCACTCCCACATTCACATATCTAGGAGTCTAAACCCTATCAGTCTTTGGCTCAGCTGAAAAACCTCACAGCAAGTCCATATTCCATAACCACATTCTGGTCTCTGAATCTGGTTATTTGGATTTTGTTTGTGTGTGCTGTGTACCACTAGAACCATTATCAGAAGACTCACAAATACAGAGTCAAACAGTACTAAAATATAGCAGTCCCTCTGAAGAAACTTATTTGCTATGCATTCTGGAAACTGAAGGAGCACATATTGAACAGTTGCTATGATTAGTGAGACATTAAATCACAGGGCACACCTGATTACAGCATAACTATGGCATCTTTGAGTGCATGGTCCCCATAGCACAGGGGTGCCATGGGGACCATGCACTCAAACTTCCTATATCATATAGTTTCTGAGACATTATGGTCTAAAGTGGAGAAGTTTCATTATAATCACCCTGTATATCACTGGACGTTTCAAGAGAGATTGTTCCATAACTTTCTAGAAGGTCAAAGAGGGACTATATATATTGGCTGATTTCTAAACTGCTGTTTTGAAATCAGTCATAGTAGCGAGGAAGACAAATGTGGAAAAGTGTTGTTGAGTCAACTGAAAATAGCACATGATTTGAGTGCTAACAGTTTGTCAACATACTCATCAATCATCTTGCATTATTGGAATCTGGGTTATCACCGTGCTGCTGAAGTCGCCTGTTGAACGAAGATCCCTGTCCCCTAATATGGCCAAGATCGAGGCACCATGGAGCATTGGCTGACCTTGTATGATAATGCCTAAGGATGGTATTGCCATTGGTCAGTGGATTTGAAGGAACAGTGAGACAACAGCAGAATAAATTTTTAGGAAATTGCGAGAGAACAGAGGCAGGCATGTGTCCAAATGGATGGTGCAGTGCCACCCTGCTCAATTTGGTTATAGGAGGGTTTTGCCTAGTGATGCCAATGCTGATCCAGAAGCAAAGGAGAGGCAAGTATAATAGGCATTGCAACACAAAGATGATGATTGGAGCCAGACAGTGTTCTCTAATGAAACCTATTATCAATCGTTCAAATATATGTCATTGGTCCAAAAATACTCAAAATCAGTTCAAGAGAATTCCCAAAAGCAGGCAGGGAGCCTTCAGCATTAAAGGTCACATATTGTGCCATTTATTCAGAAGGATCATGGATGACCCCTACTATGTTCAAGTTCAAGAACATCTACTTTGTGGTGCAAGAAGACAGTTTGGACAATAGTGGTGATTCCAGCAAGACAATGATCCAAAGCACACAAGTAGGGTAGCTAAGCAATTTTTAGAAACAGCATGTACCCAAAGTGATTGAGTGACCACCAATCTGTCTGGATGTAAATCGAATTTAAAATTTGTGGTCTATCCTTGAGCAAGGCATAGAGAAATGAAGGCCAAAAAATCTCAATGAATTGGACCAACTCATGCATGAAGAATGGCAATGAATTGACATGTTGACCATAAGTCATTTGAGCACATCAAAGAAAGGGAGAAGTTTGGCTCTTATTGATTCAGAGGGAGATAGAATAAATTGACTTGCATTTCTATAGAATATGGGGAATATGATTTTTTTTTAATTGTTTAAATTCATCACTTCCAGCAGTAGAAACTCACCAAAATCTGACAGCAATTTTTTTTTAAAACTTCACTGGATTTTGATGACAAAGGTAATATATATTGTCACATGGTGTATCATTGCATAAATTTATGAGTAAATGCTTTTATATGTTTTTGACATTGTAAGATATATCAATGTAATGCATAAAAATATTCACTCCATGAGATCCAGAGGAAGGAGATTCACCCATCATCTTGAACTCTACTTGTGACTGGTATTTCCACATCAATAGCCTTTATAGTACTTGCAAGTATTAGTGAACATTTTTCTATCTGGTATCCTGCTATCTTCTTGAAGGCTAACAATAAATGGGTGCTACCTTGGATGAATTTGGAGGAGTTGTATAAGAGGGTTTTATGACTGTTATACCACCTTTGCCATTTTCAGGAGGGTTGAAACTGAGTCGTGTTGTCAAGAAAGCTCTTATTGACTACCATATTCCCTTCATACCATTGGAAAAGAAGCATGTGAAGCATTGCATAGAGGATGAATTCCAGAGGAGGAGAATCAACTATTCACATGAAGATGTTGAGTGAGTCACATCAATAGTCAAAACAGTTAGAGCTGCTATGATAAATTACTTATTGTCATTATCTGATTTTCAGCATAAAGGAGCACAATTAAAGATCCATTATTCATATCTGAAGTTTCTTTAGGAAGATTGAAATTGAGAATAGTTCATTTTACAAGATAAATTCATCACACTTAGTACCCCAGTCAGACATATCATCTGAATGCTATCTATACTGGGTGTTTGTACTTAAATTCAACATTGGGAAAATCTTGCTGCCTATTTATGGAGTTCAGGGCATGCATTATAGCTCACCAGGTTGCATATATGGAAGATGAAACTTATACCTGGTGTGTTTCCTTGTAGATATGCAATCTGGTGGGCCTTATAGCATTCGCCGAACTCCACCAACAGGCAGCAAAATATTCTCTATGTTGTGTTTAAATACAAACACCCTATACAAGTCACTGGAATGAGAAATGTAGGCCTAAGCCTATGATTCAATTTATGGGGGAAATGTTATTATTAGGCACTAGCACTGGATATACCTAATGTCAACTGATATTGATAAAATATCTATGCAGCCCTAAAAAAAAATTTATTCCACACTGGACATTGGAGATATTCATTTCTGCTTCTTTCCAGAACTATACTCAAGAGGATTGGGATCATCCCTTCAAGGAGTGCCCGGTTTGCACAGATTGGCTGCAAAAGAGTAGCCATTGAAGTTGACATATACTTGAATGAAATTGAACATGAACATGACCATGACCATGGACCAGAAGATATACTCAAAGATGAACTTTGATTCCTGTGATTGATTTCTGCATGATTTTTTCCATCATGCTTCTTGAACTGTGATAATGCAGTGTCACCATAATAAATGAATAAAATTTGCATTGAAATCATTTTTTGTGCACCTGTAATTTTCAGAATGAAAAAGACACACTTACAGTCATAAGTTTATGAATTCCAGCATGAAAGACTGTCCACTACAAATGAGCAAGGAAAAATAATATTGGCTGCTTCTCTAGCATAACTGGATCACAGTTCAAATCACTTTGACAGATTTCATGAAAAGACAGGCAAAGTCAAAATTGGATCCAGATGGAATTGGCCAACTTGCAACCTTTCTTCACAAATCCTCTCTCATCCACATACTTGTCAGATGCAATAATCCTATCCACAACCTCTGGCTCAGTGTGTATGCCTCTGCTTTCTAGGTCGTTCAATATGCATTTCCTTACAATAGGTATGGAAAGGAGCTGAAAGTAGATTTCTTCATAGTGAATAGAGGCATGATGAAGTGGTTCTAAAAACTCATATTTGAATTTGTTTACATCAATACCGTTGAACACCAAGATGACATACAATGAATGGCCTGAAGTGAGATTCTTGCATCCAGCTAAGTACATTTGCAATTTAGAAAGAAACTGACCTTCTGCTGCCTCCATATCATCTATTATTAGTACATCCAGCCCCTGCAGGAAATATTCATATCGTGGCATGCTGGCAAATGAACTGTGCACACGATAGCCCAGTTGCATCATGACAGTATTAATGATGCTTGCTGCCATACTCTTACCCACACCTGTTCCACCATAGAATATGTGGATAAGACACCGAGCGTTATGATCATTGAAATGATGATGAAGTGAAAGCAAGATTTTCTTCACAGCACTCTCCTGGCCATACACAGATGTCAACTGGGTGTAGAGAGGCTGGAATTGTGGGTTATATGATTTGGATTGCTGACTAATGAAGACTGCTGAAATGGCACCAATAATAAAGAGGCTGATACAGAAAATAAGTCCAACATGTGTCTTGAAATTCTTCTTCCTCTTCTCATGATCAACCTCACCAGCATGTCTTTTAGACCATCGACCTGTTCTCTTATCATAGAGGGGCCTCCCAGGCGATCTTCCTCTCAATTCTGGTACCACCATACAAGAGGGTAGTCCTGTGCCTTTTCTTGCTCCATTATTCTCAGACTTCCTTTTTCTCGTGGGAGGATGTTGTGAGAGGAGTCTCACTAATTCCTCTTTCTGATCTCGTTTCTTGATGATGTCACCATCCATGTACCTAAGATTTTCCGGGCAGAAAATAAGACACTTTTAAATGAAGGACCCTTATTTCACAGGGACTACAATATATTAATACTGCTGCATAAAAAAAAAAACCTCTACCAATGTAAAGAGGCAATAAGGATTTAAATAGATGATAGGAAATGCCAAGTCATCCCTGGAATGTACTCCACAATTTTGAGGTATCCTTCATTGCATTCTTCAACTTCAGCAAGATTATGTGTGAAAGGGATTATTTAATGAGAACTGGTACCATTCTATGAGCACCTAGCTTTTTCTGCATAACTCACAGAGAATGCAGGGTCTTCATAAAATGTACTGCACTTGTCAATCATAATGCCTGAAATGAATATCGCTAATTTGGTCTTAACTTTTGCTACTTATGTGAGGTTTCTTTTTCATCAGTCATTTAAGAATCCAGTTCAATGGGGTTCACTTGGGATCTGTGCGAAAGTGATTTCCTTGGGCTCTGTAACGTTGACAAATGCACGGCTTCAATGTTGCCTCTTGTTCTCTGTGAACATGGTCTGCAAAAATTTACTTTGTTCACATGATGCACCATCCAATGTCAACTCACTCTTCAATGATATGAAGAATGATCTAACAGGTAGGTGCATTCTGTGAGTGAAGCCTCTAGTGCAGTGGCTCCCAGACTTCTTTTAATTGCAACCCGCTGAAATCCAGCATGAGGTATTTTCAAAGTAATTATGAGAAAGAATATTAATCGACCTTTGCTGCAGGGCATGTTTTACCCTGAGCGGATGAGGAAGTAGTGATTTTTTTTATACTGGGAAAATGTACACAACCGATCTTGATGCCTCTCATGACCCACATTTTGGGAACTGCTGCTAAAGTGAGTACAGAGGCATCACTATGCTAGCACTTTATTTTTTTCTCTCTGCATTGTCTTTCTGATTGGCAACCAAGTTGCTGTGTTACAGAACTATTTTCACCTCTTCCTATGAGATCAGGACTTCACAATGTTTAACTGTGTAAGTTTAAGCCATCCAATTGTCACCTCCAATACAAACTCAATATTGGTTTCCTAGATTTTGAATTTCTTAAGTCTGGAGGCAGTAAATTATAGTAAATATCAGGATATTACCATCAATAAAAACCAACAGTGGACAGAGCATATGACTTTAAAACCCTCAGGACTACCAAGACATATCTTTAATCTGTTAACTGGCAAGTTTCTGCATGACAGTTGCAGGTTGGATGGGTAGTTTTTTCTGTAGAAACTCACACATGCAATCGAGTTTCACTCGATGATTTCTTATTCAAGGGAAAGAATGTTTCATTCACTGACTACCCCATATCTTCTGATCCCAAGATGAACATACTTGTAATTCACACTATGCATGAAGAATACACTTGTCATACCTAGTTAATATGTTAATAAAACCTTTACTGAGGCTAAAACAAATACATACTTCATATCTCTCCTGTGCATGAGCTGTCATGTTTGACATTGGGAATTACATCTGGTATGGCAGGTTTAATTGAATTTGTAAAATTTCTACAATGGCTAATGCTTGAAGACAGGCAGAAATATACAAATGATGCTAATCAACATGATCCTGTAGAAAAGGCTTACTAGACACAAGAGACACTAAAAAAAAAAAAACTTAAGGAATTTCAAGATTTGTTATATATTTAAATATTTATATTTATATTTTTATATACAATTTCACAAAAGGGGAACATACAATTTTGGAATTTTCTAGATCAATAAATTTTTTTTCACAGAATGACAATTGAAGAATGTTTGTCTCTTCACTAGAACTATGACTCAGTTCCCAGATGCAGAGTTCAACATTCCTCAACTTGCATTTTGTAATCCAAAAAAGGGGGAATTCTAGACCTCCTGACAAGATTTTTAAATTACATATTCACTACTTTTTCAAATCACTGATATGTTCATATCCTTTGAAAGTAGTTTTACATCAGAATATCTGCTTCCCAAGGACAGTTAGTTGAGTAAGCTACTTTTCCCAGGAGATATTATCACCCCAACAATTGAAATATTCCAAATACTCCTTTCTCTCCCAGAAATAACTGAGGTTCTGTCACCAAAACTACTTTGGTGACAGTGCCTTAGTTCTTAGTCTTTGATTATTCATACCGTGAAGTCCTGATAATGAAACTAGACCTCTTTTGCTTGTGATGTGAAATACCATACACTCTATCATTGAGAGGTGGGAAGACAGTGACTTTCACCTCATGGTACCTTCATGGTCAGGCCCAAGGGAGGTTGACTGGGAGGGGATAAAGGATTAATCCACAGATCCATTTAAGTAGTCATAGCTTAGAGAATATTTTACTGGGATCAGATATTGTCATACTTCACATTATATATATTTGTAAACAGGCACATACGAAGATTTTATGAAGGAAGGGCTCAGTATCAAGGAAATGTAATGATAAGTAAGTGCAGGAAGAGGGGAGGGAGTTGGGAGTGGCTTAGCCTATGCTTTAGCTTCACTAAAATAGACAAGACTTTATATTAGACCTATCCATTTTTTCAAGCAATAACCTCTACCAATTTAGGATGAACACAGGCATATGGTGTACTCACACATCAGGACTCCATAAGCCCAGCCACATTCTGGTGAAACATTCTTATGAAGTGTGTATCGTATGTGTGCTCTGTTGGAACACAATGAGTAGAAGCATGATTCTTCAGTGTGGGGCACCTAATTGTTTGCAATATGTTCCATCCTATAAAACATGTTTCATACATGTATAATGCACGTTTCAAAAGAATGTTTCACCTACGTTTGGCTGGTACACATGGGCCTACGTCTTTTTTAGTCCTAAAGTTACAATGAATTTCAATTGAAAGCACATTCCATGGTCCCTATGCTAAGAGCAGGAAAGCGCAGTCAATTAAAATTTGCTGTAAGGCAGAGCTGCTTTGAGCAACTAGCTTGGAATGTAGGAAAGCACGTTAAGGCCGGCCGCACACTGGTGAATATTTTTCGTAATGCGTGCGTCATATATGTATGATGCATACTTCATAATACATAATACATAAGCAATTGGACTCCACACACTTGTGAGACATGCTTCAACTCGTAGTGTTCCAACCAACGAAGCATGGATGATACACACTTCAGGAGAAAGTTTCACTAGTGTGCGGCGGGGATTATGGAGTCGTATGTGAGCGTACAGCGTGAGAACCACGTGCAACCCAACAGCGGCGGGAAAGGGTGTTTCGGTGCTGCCCTCAGTAGCGGACTAGCGGAGCTATGAAAACGGCAAGTGAGGGCATGCGGTCGATTTGGCACACTAACTCAAATCATTTTATTCAGGATGAGGCCCGTAGATAAGACACACAGTATCTACCAGAATCGACTGAGTGGTTGTTGTAGATAAGACAGTACTTACGTGAAGGTCAACCGAATGTCGTTGGTCCTGATGAATGACAGGCATACAATATGGAAATTGAATTATGCCTGCACATGGGCATGAACGAGAGAGGGACAAGGTCGAGGTGGTGTTCAGAAGAATACGAATGCACCTATCTACATCTCCTACGTCTACATCATCTCACAATCATAATAATGATGATTGGGGAACAGAGTGAGAATGGCTTTTTGTAATCCTCAGGGACTTCATTCTTCTTGCCATTCATCTGTCTTAGGGGTTGGTGCACCCAAAAATTTATCTCGCTACATACCAGTTGCGGAAAACACCAAAACAGCTGATAGAGTACCCTTTGAAGAACCAATTGCAAAGCCAGCTGATAACAAAAAAAGCCTGAAGAGTGAAGACCATAAGTTGAAGTCGCGGTCACCACCTAAATGTCATGACTGCGACTTCAACTACTTCAAGTAAACAGTACCTTTAGCTCCCTTTCTGCACAAAGCATGGATTAAAGATCTAATAAACATAATGAGTTTCATTTAAAGTACGATTCGACGCGTTGGCTACCAGGCGCTAGAAGCCCAAGGCCCATGGGTGCGTCATAGCTCCTGAATTTCGGTTATCCCCCCTGCAGATTTCACACCCATTTACAGACGTTCAGACTCGCATCGGGTCGTGGACTATTGTAATGTAGTCCTGTGTGTAGTCGGTGTTTGGTCTTGCTTTCTGATGAATTTGGTTGTCATACTCGAAAGAATTAATATTGTAGTCTCCTTTCGCCTGTGACAAGCCATATGAGACCAGAAATAGGGATCGTCTCACTTCGACTCTGCAATTTCAGCAGTAGTTAAAATCCTTTAATTGGCACCGAACTCAGTTATTTGATCTTGAACTCAGTTATTTGATCCCAAGATCAAATAACTGAGAACAAGACCTTCCTCCTCCAATAATAAAGGAAAGCTTGAATGCTTCTTTCAGACTTCAGCAAATGGGCATGGAAAATGTCTGATTTTATTTTTGTCCCAGTTGGAAGAAGTCCCTAATCTGTTGCCGAGCCACAACTTCACCGAGACAGTATTGAATTACATTCGTCATTGTATTTCCATGGTTTGCTTTAGCGATTCTCAAACTTTGGGCGAGGGGGGCGAAAGACTTGGGACGTGCGACAGAACCTGGACTTTTTCGTATTGATCCTTATTATAAAGTGAAATTTGAAAGACTTCACACTAACCATATTATTCATTATTTTGTTTTAACTTAAGAATGCTCGCATTCCTTCTGGAACTTGTCAAAGAAAACAGATTTAGGCAAAGCGGCTTGATGCAAAAACCAGCCTTTTCCTCTGGAATGCATGACCCTGAGCTCTTTCTGGCTCGTCCTCCAGGAGCACAAGACTAAACGAAGGCAATCCCCAAGCGCAGGCTCGTGAATCCGATTTTTTAAACTTCGGAGTTGTCCTGAGAATACCTGGTGTTGAGTTGATGCATCAGTTTTCTTGCAAACGATAATAAATATTTCATAGATAATCAGTGGCGTAGGCAGGAAATCAGCAAGGGGTTGAGGCCAGGTCGACACCCCAATCCTACACCTAGCTCCACCGCCTGAAATGGTCAAATGATGTGCAT